CGTTGGCATCTTGTAGCATCGCCATGACAAGCTGTGATTCAGTCAATTTGACTGGGGAAAGCACGAATTGATATTCTGGCTTCCACACAACGTCTGCAATGACAAAATTGAGTACAAAGTCAAGGCGCATGCGATCTTCACTCAGCGGAATTAAATCAATCTCAATGCCAGTACTGTGGCTAGCCTCCATTCGGCTTAAACTTATCTAGAACAAAAGGGTGAGTACGAGTGTGGCTGAAAATGAGTAAACCAGCTCACATACGGCAAGATAATCCATAACGATGGCATGAGGAATGCCAGCTCCTTTGAGTGCAAAATTATTAGCAGACGACACGTTGCATTCCCTAACGATTATCATGTCAGCTTCCCATACATCATACACAGCCACTCAGAAACTTACCACTGCTTCTTTGTCATTTGCTGCTCAAGCCAAATTGTTGAAGGTGTCACTGAAAAGCGATACACTAGGCCTTGCTGTGAAGCGAATATCACTTTACCAACCGTCTCCTTTGTCTTCGTAAATTCAGACATGACAAGTTTCAACTTGGGGATTAATTCAGGAGTGATCATTTTATCAAAACCCGCGCATCTCATAAATTTTGATGATGACAAAACAGCGTAGGCAAACTGGAATGTGCTCAAGCAAAGGTGTTTCTCATCATTGACGACTGATACATTTTGACAAGCGCTTGCGTTGAGAGAATAGTTAATGTGCTTGGAAATCTCACTGATTTGTCGAGAATTCCTTGCAAGTTCTTCAACTGTCCAGTGGAATTATACGAAAGATGTTTGCATCGTCAGCAAAATTGTTGATTGATCTCTTCAACCCATTGTCGATGCCGATGCGCCATTGCTGAGCTTGTCAGGTGTGGCACGTATCATCTGCGATGCTAGATGCCTTGAAAAACTATACAATTTAGCAGAAATATGAGAATCATATCTTATAAGGTATTTTATATTTTGTCTCCTTCACACTTTGAACTTAAAAAAAATAATCGATACATTTTTGCTAGGATATGCAGCCTCAAGCTAGCATTTCTAGGCTTACATCTCCGTTCGACACAAATATCACTCATCAACATTCAATGCCGAGAATATGCAGCTACAAATGTGCCGCTGGGGTACTGCTTCGGCTTGTGGTCTCGTGGTGATAGTTTCGCAATTTGGCAGCAGTCTTTAATAACATCGCAAGCTTTGTGATCGATCTCACGCTACCAGTGGCGTATTCGACGAGAATTTGGTTCGCAGAAACACTTTAAACTACAAATTACTGATTTTGGATTGACATGTGTCAATGATGCTGTGACGCTCGAAGCCAATTAAAATTGCTTGTAGGGTGAGTCCGAAATCACAGATGTTTACGATCACAAGTGCGGCTTGTTATTGATCGTACCCATTTACAATCTGCACTCATACCTAGCGAACGACATGGTGAACTTTGATATCAGAAAGATGCATTCGTACCTCACTAACTATGCAAGAAGACATCGATACTTTTTGCAAATTGGTCCACCTTAGTATCCTGTGCACCTAATCAATAACAATTAATTTCAACTTATCGACGGTCAAATGGTATAAAGTTATACTCTTCCATTCAGCTAGTCGGCATTAGGCGATTTTTAAGGGTTAGACTTGATTATACCAACAGAAGCATTGCATAGCATTCGTGATTTCATGTGACAAAATATTCAGTCACGACGAAAATCACAATATGAGATTGTAAGAAAGTCCATTGCTTAAGACCAACTTCTTCTCATACATCAAAAGCAAAGTTATGTCACGCTTGAGCAACGATGATCTATATAGCGCAAGATCTCAACATAACAAGCTGTTCTTGTTCGCATCATTACGGACTATGGCGGTATGGTGAAGCATATTTGATATGTGTGTTCTGTTATGACTCTTTGTGCCAGATTGCCGTTGTTGTGTGTGCATGGGAGTTTGTTGCTGAGATGACGCGAAGCAAGGGTGGAGGAGTACATACCTTTATGCTCCTTTTCCCACACATCGCATTGTTTCTTATTCTTATAGCTCAAGTTTTCTCAATTGTCAAGCTGAGCTTCCGCACACAAGTACGTCCATCAAATGGAAGTTTAACCGATTTGATAATCGTGACAACATCTTTCCCCCTTATAGATTATCATTATCACAACAACTATAGTTCCGATGACTTTTTATGCGATGATTCACTCGAGCTTCCGCCTTGGCGTTAGTCTCTGTTGTTGCAGTCGCTCGTTATGGTATGTGGTTTCTTGACTTATTATTTTTGACTAATTTTATTCTGGTTAGCCCTGCAACATCATTGTCGAATTCCATACCTGATGCGAGTGCATGTGGACTCATCTTGAACAACTGGTTTGAAATTTACTAATGAGCAGCTGTTGATTTCTCCTCACTTGACCTTCTTGTGCAGCTATATGGCATTTATCCGAAAGATAATTCACTTTTGTGGAACTGCAAGCTTACAGTCCCCACTCGTATGATTTTTACTTTATTATAGTATCTTTATTGGGTCCTGACATTGTTTACTGTTGTTAGGTTACAATTCTATTCGAGACTTTGTTGAGAAGTACTCGACAAACTGTCGGACGAAGACATTGCCAGACATTTCTAGGCAAAACCCGTTCAGCGTAGACAGCCCGATCGTCGCATACACTAAATCAGAATCTTTGCGATATCATAGTATCTGCGGAAAAACGCTAAAGATATTCTAGACGGATGAAGTAGATGATATTACCTGCTACAGCAACACATAAACAGAAGCTCACTGCAGAGGTTGCTAAGATTATAGGCGTCAGCATTTGAGACCAAACAATACATTTACATAACCATTTGTGAATGATGGAGCTTAAACAACCCCAAGATTTTCAGTTTGCCCCTTATGGAAGAAAGAATCAAAGCAAATTTAACTGTGCAATACTTTTCACTGCTTTTCATCTGATATTCAATGTTCGAATGCAGACCGATCTGCGCTGGGCCAAAAGTGGTGTTTCTGCAATTTTAAGCAGAACTTAAACAATTTCGTAAGATTTAGTCACTTTCGTTACAAAATATCGTCCTTAAATGTTTCGCACGAGACTTTGTTGCTTTAAGAAAAACAATGCATCATATGGAATATGCTTGTGACCAAAGATATATTAGCATAACATTTGACACTGACTGCAATCCAGATTTTTGTACTTTGAAGATATATTGCCACTGCTGGTCCTGACTAGCTGGATGCCCTGGTACCATGGCGTTTGAAAATGATTTCTGAATTTCTTGGTTTTAATTGCGACAAAGCCGCCTGTATTAAAAATCTATAGGTTTTCCTGATTAAATAGTAAAAGCTAATTAGATGCATAACTACTGGCAGCCCAGCCACGTACTAATTTCTTGTTAAGTTGTAGCCACACCATTGTGTGATTACACCGTCTTGTGTAACCTAACGTACGTAAACCCCGTTACACGACGTGTCTTTTCACCGAGTGCGCGAACTGAGTCTGGAACTCTTCGATAGTTTCGCCAACCAGAGAAATCGCAATCTTGCTTGATGTTTGGAATGATTTCTGGTTTCGGACTTTGGTTTTTCAAATATATTTCTCCTTACAGTTGAATTGACGATGCAGCCTCACTTGAAATTTTTTTACCAGATGAATTTTTGAATATGGCTCTTTAGATATAGATTTGACTGACTGCTTTGGTCATTATAAGTCTTGGATGCTTCTCCTTTTAATTGCGGCTTCGAGTCGGGCATTAGCATTCCTTTTATTTCAGTCCATTACGTAATCTGACCATCGCAAAATTGTCCATCACTTGTCCTGCGCTGCCCTATCGTTATCGTTTTGTCTTTCAATATGATTCGTTATTAGTTGATGTGGTGCAGTCTTATGGCCAGCACATCTTGTTAAGCTATTACTGATTATCCCTGCAACATCTTAGCAGCTTTTCAGCGTATGTGTTTTCTTGTAAGTTCCTGTATGGATTCTGCGTTTCCCCCACTATAATCACATTTGATGTCACCCAATCAGAACTTGGTGTCCATTTCCAAAATTTACTGACTACCACGCGAGGCTCCGTCTTTTGCACATCTGATCCGCTGGTGTTTACTCTACCAACCGTGTAGGCGCCAGTAAGTGCTAGCATGACCTTCGCGCTCTTGGCACTATCGCCGACAACGATGGGGGCTGGCAGCCTCCCCGTTGATCGTAGTCCTCAGCCGAAAAAAACTCTCAACAAAATCGGATAATAAATTTAGGTCTCTTGACGCAAACTCAAGGTCTACAGCCACCTCACAGGGATAATGCCCTTTGTCCAGTGACCGCCTCTGGCTCGCTGGATTATGCAACGTCAGACTCGGGTTCGACAATAAATTTATCGCCAACACCCAGCCTTAGCATCGGCCAAGCCTTAAGATCATCGATACCGGAATCTGCAAACCGGTCGGTGCCGAACAGATCACAGACCGTGGACACGAATGGTGATACACAAATTCACGGTGAAACAATGACCAATGCGATGCTGGTCACTCGTGATGCCGACGATAACCGATAACACAAACAATTTTGAAACTATACCACCACCCGTGGTAGTGTCAACAAAACTCGGCTCTAGATCACTTGTAGGTCTAGGTGGGCTGGTGCGGAAACAACTCAAAGCCGCGCTCAGAGCTGTAGCTCGCCGGGTAAGTCGCCCAGGAGTACGATCAATTCAGCACTCAAATTGCCCTTCGAGTGTGTGACGGCGCATTGAAAGTTTGGGGGCGACGGCGATTAACACCCTCCGTCGACGCTGGAGAAAGAAACAAGATTCATATACCTTAACTGCACCGGAGCTGCCGTAGCTCTTTGCTTAAAGGAAGCTAAACTAAGATCATCGACGTAACGTTCTATACTAGAACCGGTACAAGTTTAACGGATGGCAATTCGCTACCTCAAAAAGTAACCATACCTTAAAAAGGCGAATATACTCTTCCAATTAAAATTGAAACAGTATTTTTTTGGGTTATTCGCGGTAGAGCCGCCTATATCTAAAACTTTAGGCTTTTCTAATTAAATAGTAAAATGTAATTAAAATGCATACCTACTGGCATTTCCGCGTCGTAGTGGCTTCTTGTTACGGCATAGCCACACCATTCTGTGATTACACCAACTTGTGTAATCCTTACCTTTTTACGATCACACCATCTTGTGTGACCCACTCTTTCTCAGAGGGCCGCCCCAGCGCCAACGATTCCGCGTTCACTTGCGCCGGATCTCGGTACGGCGTAAGCAATTTCACATAAAATACTGGATGGGTGCGCATCCTTCTCGAAAGGTTCTGTATATACCCTAGGCCTCGCTTGGCCACGACCTCAAAGGTCCAATAAAACGTGGACGGAGCTTTGTGGTCTTTCGCACAGAGGTAGACAACCTCAGAGAGATGCTCGGCAGAATGCCGATGACGACTGACTTTGTCATCCAACCCTCGAAGATCATTGCGAGTTACCGGACCGCGATCGATCAAGTCGTCATCGTGCGCCGCCGACTCTAGTCGATGCGAATGGTGGCGTCCACTACCACGTAAAACGCCTTGTGGGTCGACATAGTCGACAGGGTCGTCCCCGATATCTTATGAAGTGGCGGGTATATCCAAACTTCGAAAACTCGTGGGAGTTTGAGGTGTCACTTCGGCAAGACTACTCAGACGTCGTAGACGATTATGATCAGAAAGGTCATCACGCTTCGCATCGTCTAGCGCACCGCGCTTCTCAGCAGTAGCCCGGGAAACCGGAGGGCCACGAGCTGAGCCCAAGCTATGACCTGAGCTGCTGTGGTCGTAGACTCACCCATGCGAAAAGCGACATAGCTTGCGGGGGTGTGATGGATGATTTCGTGTGTCGCAGGGCGACAATACGGCGTTGCGCCTTGAGTTTGGCAGACTCAAATCTAAGATGACGCTCGACGCACACGTCCTCTTTATTGTGGCTTCGCTGTAAGGTAGACAGCGAGAAAAGTTTCCGGTGCCGCTGCACCCATCGCTTGAAAGGCCCCCCATCATCTGCAGCGGTTTCGCCAGGGGTGAACACCATGAAAAAAGTCCGCATTGCGGGTACAGGAGTGCCTCCTTTTTGAGCTCAAGGTTGATTGCGGTACCGATCCATTGGGATCTCTTGGGGTACCAGTCGCGAGCTCACAGAGATTTCCGCTGATCAAGCTCAGCTTGTGTAGTGGCCGGAGACCCGGCTACGTAGACGCCTAACGATCGATTGATCGCGCCTTTTGCCTCAGTAGCGGGACCTACCGAGCGGAAGCCGGATTCACACGAGGGTCGACCGAACGTTGATTAGAGCGCAAGAGAGCCGCTCTGCTAGCAGCTTCCAATTGCTCCTCCTGCGCCTCGTCGAGACGATTGGTTATAAAACCGCTGTCCCCGTAAGCCGTGAGGTCGGGGAACGGATATGGTGTCCGCAGGATTTGAGCTGTGCTGACGTCGCACCGAAGGCGTACTTCATCTTCCTCGTCATGCCATGCTGAGAAAGGAGTGTCCGAATCGTAGTCTCTTCCTTCAACTCCTCGACGAGGAATTTCGTCTCCCGGGGCGGGTGCGTTGTGTTGCGCTCAGTTGCCGAGGGCTTGGGATGTGGTTCCCGTGAGGCCGTGGACATACCGTCCCGAGTTGCACCTTGTGCAGAAGTAGAAGGGCTTTGCCCGCGGGCGCCCTCGCTACCAGCTAGGCTGAAGGGTTTTGCGTGTCGCAGACATAGTGCTTATTGAGCGGAGAATGTTCAAGGATGTTCTTGAGGACGTAACGGTGTCTCAGACATGCGAGCCGCGTATAAGACGATCGTTAAATGTGAACTGGGGATGTTCACCTTTTTATTCAGGGGAATGTAACGCGGTTACACGTGTCCTTGTGAGAAAGGGCGGGTCGCACAATTTTGTGCGACCATACATAGGTGTAGATTACACAGGTAGTGTAATAACACAGTGGTGTGGCTACACCGTCATAAGAAGCCCCACGTGGCAGGATTGCCAGTAGTAATGCATATTAATTAGGTCTTGCTATATTAAGTATGTTTTGTTATATTAATTAGGAAGATCAAGGGTTTTACATATTGGCGGCTCTGGCGCAACTAAAACAATTAAATACAGTTTTGCTTTTGAGCGGAAATGTTTGTTTGCCTTGGTAACGCTTTAGTATTTCAAAGTAGCGCTTTGCGATCAGCTACGGCAGCCCTGCTGCACACTCAGTCTGGTAGACAGGAAGTCATCGACTTTTTACGCACAGTGAGGGGGCTGCCATCAGCTAGCCGTTCGGCTGTTCCTCCACCATCAAGCCCTGAGCCATGATATGGCGGCGTCAACGGACGCGAGGAAGAACGAGCCCGTTCACGTAGAACGGCGTGTATTCGGTAGACGCATGCACTGCATTGTATAGCGCAAACTCCACAGGTGGCAGCATGGCGATCCAGCGCCTCAGCGAATTAGCGCAGACGCTGCGAAGAACGTCTTCAGCGACGCGATTCACGCGCTCACTTTGACCATCGGTCTGCAGATGGTCCGCTGTTGACGTATTCAATTCGGAGTCCAGCACCTTGAAGATTGTCGACCAAAACTTTCCAGCGAAGCCTGGGTCTCTGTCAGAGACAAGTGACTCCGGGTGTCCATGTTGTCGAAAGCATGATCGACAAAAAGCATAGCTGTACGGACGCCGTCGATGGTGTCCGGTACCGCTTCAAGATTAGCCATCTTGCTCAAACGGTACACAAAGACCACTACACCCGTGTTGCCTGCCAACTCCTTCGGCAGGTCAAACACAAAGTCCATACTCAGGGACAGCCAACACCTAGAGGCTACCAGAAATCTAGCCAGCGGCGCCGGCGCATTTGAAGAGGGCTTCACTCTTTGGCATGACTCACACGTGCGCACATATGTGCTCGTTAATTTGTACAGCTTGTGCCACCAGTAGTGGCAACTGACAGAGCTTTACGTCTCCTCACGACCGAGCTGACCACTGCGTGGAGTGTCGTGGGCCTTATAAAGGATACAGAATTTCAAATCCACATCGTTAGAAACCTCAATTCTTGGCGTATCCGTCAAATCGGTGCTATATACCGCAAATCGATATTAGCCGTGCGCGCAATCGCGACGACAACTTCTTGTCCGAGTTTACATACTACTTGCTTCCGAGAGCCCGTAGCAGAGCTACGCACATCTCATCACCCGCGTATGCGCCGCAGATTAAATCCGTCAGTGACGACGTCACCGTCGTGACATGAGCAAGCTCATAATCCCGTCTGCGTGACAACGCATCAGCCAAAGCATTTTGCTTTCCTGATTTATACTTCACCTCGAAGTAATTTTCTGCAAAGAAAAGAGAGCCACCTGGCCATCTTCTGAGAAAGATGAGGCGCTAAGTCGCGGTGCAAAGTGACGCATGATCTGTGTCGATCATTGGACCCAGCAGCTGTCCCCTGAACTTGACAAGTGCATACTTCATCGCAAGTAATTCCTTGTCGTGGACTGGGTATTTTTTTATCGCAGCCTTAAGCTGACAAGATTTGAACGCGAACGCGAACGCGATCGCCTGATCTCACTTCTCGGCGTCTGCTTGCAGCAGTGAACAGCCGATGGCAAAGTCCGAAGCGTCACAGACGACAGTAAGATGACGATTGGGTTCTAGCAACGCCGGTATTGCTGCATGAAGAAATCTTTCTTTAGCCTCCCGATGCTCAGTGTCCCAAGACCATTCTGTATCCTTCTTAAGAAGATTTGACATTGGTCGTGCTATTTCCGCATAATTTGCGCTATACTCGTGCAAGTAGTTGGCAAGACCAAGCCACTTGCGCAAGTCCTTTTGGTTCTTTGAAGCCGGCCAGTCCACAATGGCCTTAACCTCAGCAGAACCCCCTCGAAGGTCACACATCTCAATGAAGCACCCTAGAAATGGAATCTCTTCTGCGCCGATGATGCACCTGAGTACCGCTCTCGAATGGACGATGATGCTCTCCACATCAGCTCTACCGTTCCCCGGACGACTGTGGACGAAGATGTCGTCGAAGTATGTCTGCGCATATGCCCGGTGGGGCCCGAACAACTGCGTCAAAAGAATATTAAATGTTGCTGGTGCATTTGACACATCACCAGCCACCCCAGAGCATGTCGCTCGGAATAATCGCGGAATATCACTCGCTTTCATGAGCAACTATTAATGCCCAACGACCACGTCAAGTGTACTGTACTTTATAAATCCACCCATTGTTGTTCTGGAGAACATCCTTGTCAGGAGACAGCGTCTATGCCGAAAGAGTGGCAGCATTGAGCTTATTGTATACGCCCTTGCCGTTCTGCTTTCCGACACAAAACGCGGGTTTCGAATGGGGGACTTACTCTCACGCACCATTTCTGCATCGTGCTTCACACGAAAGAAGGCGTCAATGACGTCACACTGCTCCTTCGGCAGGACTATTGGCGTGTTTAACCAGGTCGATCCCATGACGCACACCTCGGTCCGGAAGTAGGTCCGACGGTGGGTCTTTGGAGTCGACATCTTCAAACTCCTTCACCAAAGGATAGTACGGATCTGAGGGATTCTGCAAGATCGAAGATCCACTTCGTGTGTTCAGTACCTCTTAATGTCCTCGAGAACAGCTTCATCATAGAGCGACAACGAGTTGGTATCCTCGTTCGGTCGTGCAATGACCACCTCAGCTAAATCGCCTGACTTCAGGGCATTGCCAAACACTTCGAAGGACATCTCGTCCAGCTCAAAAAGAGCATCCACCGTGGGAATGCCCCGAGGTTGGCGTCGCCGCCTTCCTTCCCCGTCATACCGTTGACAAAGGTGTATACCTGTACACTGACACACCCTGAGTCAGGGTCGACGCCATGCGTCTCGCAGATAACATACGGGATCGCCGTCTCTTTACTATAGAAATTTTACGTATTTTTGAGACCAGTGGGAACACGCACGCATCGTCTTCCAGTGTCCCCACTCCCTGTTCCATCGGAAACTTGGTGTAAATATTAACATCCGATGAAGAGCTACTATTTCCGCAGTCTTCGTCCAGTGGGTAACGTGCTACTCTACGCGCATCAGGAGGACCTTCATTGCCTTAGATGTCTCGGACCTCGTCCGGCCATGCCACTCTTAGCATGCAGCAACTGCTTCAAAACGTACAGTGCTCACTGAATTACGTGCCACTACACGTTCTGCCCGCGAGCCATGCTTGGGGCTCTTGCAAATACACCTTTGTTGTTCGACAACTTGGATAATCTGACGTCCAGCCCGTTAGCCGTCCCAGTTCAGTGCTCGCGCCAATAGCGCTTCTGCTTTCTAGCAGTGGTGGATTCATGACTCTCCAAAGCTCCACCAGTAGACGTGCGAGCAGTTCGACCTCCAATCAATCCATGCCTCATGGTATTCCAACCACGCCATACGTCAAAACTTGAATATAAGTATAAGCCCAAGTAGGATTCACACGCTGTCGAAGTCAAGAAACATGTCACCAAGGGCCACAGAGACCCTCGGCATCGTGACACAAGTCCCCGTCGCTAAGCGAACAGTGACGGTGTCACTCAACCGGGCTTTCAGCGCCTTAGCATATAGCTGCCATCCTTCTATCGTAGAGCGTCCAGCATAATTATCCTACGCCCGGGATTCGTTAAGAATCTTTCATGGCTTCACAAAGCCCTTCACGGTCGCTTCCACGACCAGCATGTCCGGCTGGTTAACACGTTCTGCGTTTAGGAGCACGGAGCTCATCGAGGCTGGACCTACTACTCTTTACCTCTTTGAGATTCAACAGAACTCAGTTCTTCCCCAGTAGGGTGCCCCGTGCCTACTGGGTTCTGTTGTTTCCCCTTGAAAAACTAGACTGGTGGAAAGCGAAACGTCGGTTTCGTTGAACCCTGACGCGCCTTGTGCATGGGACAACTTATCCAAAGGTGATGGGTGTCTCCACAGGCCGGGTGTTTACACGCTGCTCGGCAGCTCGGAGCTCTTGCTCCTCTTTCTCAGCATACCTTATATCCATTGGCTCAGGCCCGCTCGACGAGCTCTGCGGGTGTGCATTCCAACCAAGTCGTGCCGACTTGAATTTGAATTCGGCATTTAATGCCACATTTACCGTTGATTCAAATGAAGACGGATGCATACGGAGGACTTCCATTCTGGCCTTACCGGTGCTGAGGCCTTCCATAAAGACGGTTTCCGTGACCGCCTCAAGAAGGGGATCTGCTGCCATCACGGCAATGAGAGTGCGCATCTCTTGGACAAAGTCCACCAATACATGTTGCTTTGTCGGGCGGCAAGGAAACGCGATATGCCTGATTAGGGGCGAGAACATTCGTGAGAGCTGCAATTTCAGCTCCGCCTAGGCGAGAAACGCAGCTTCGACCGAAGTGCCGCACATCAATGCCCATTCTCGCGTTCGACCACCGAGCTTCCAGGTGGCTAGCGCCACGCGCTGTTGCGCGGTCTGGAGCACGGCGGATGAGATGGCCATCTCGACCTCTCTCACCCAGAGCAGGAGATTCTCTATATGCTTCCCCTCAAAGACCTTAACACTCACCATGAGCGGCTTAGGGCGGAGAGAGTCATCCGTTACTGGCGGTGGCGTCATAGACGCAAATAAAGCAGACATCTTCTGCTGCAGGTGCTCTAGCAGCGCGTTTTCGCAATTTGAAAACGCCTCTAGACGCGCACCAATTACCTCGAAGCCTTGCGCAGCAAGGTGTTGCACGCCCTCAGGGCCCAGCGAGGACAGCATCCGCTATTTAAGCTTGTCCTGCATGCCCTAGGGCAAAGAGGAAAATTTTCCATTCTCACGAAGGATCAGTCTAAACGACTTAGGTGTAGATTGACTACAAGTGCTACGAAGTGCAGCCTGGATGCCGTAACTTTGCGGCTAGAGAAAGCGTACGTGAAATCACCGACCTTTCGTTCTATACTCAGAACAAGTACGAGTTTAGCGGATCACAATCTGATTACTCCAGGAGTAATTATAGCCTTAACCCAAGGCAGATTTACTCTTCGGTTTAAATTCAAAACTGACTTTATTTATTATTATCGGCGGCAAAGCCACCTAATTTTAAATGCATAGATTCTCCTAAATATGTTAGTAAAATCTAAATACATGTATAACTTCTGGCTATTCATCCCCATACCGAATTATTGTTTGGGTGTGGTCACACCATGCCCATCTGTTGTGACAACTTTTCCTGTTACCAGAGTATTTGTAACCCCGTTACACCTCACATAGAGAAGGATTTGACTCGAATAGTGCGCGTTACTTAACGCTTGTACGCTCCACTTAGAAGTGGAACCAAGAGCCTCTCAGCTATTTAGCTTATATATCTTGACATATTGAAAAGTTAGCCTTCTCAAGCCAATATTGATCACTATGCTCGATAGTAAAAGTAAATGTGCTGCATGACGTGGGGCTTGCAAACCACGTCCCATGAACCATTTTACGGAGTTCCATCGTCACCATGCGTGCCAATACTTTGATACCTTTGATCCATACGAAAGTGAAATGTTTACGTACACATCAGTCACTACGCTCGAGTGTACCCGCGTTTCTGGTCTGTCCGCACCTTGCAATGTTATGAGCGATTATGCCGCAGGATCGATTATAAGTGAGTCAAAATGTAACCGTAGTGATGACTGAATCGTGAATTGGAATATGTGTAGGTAGAAACATATCAGCAAAGAAAATTAATCTAGACACATATCAACAAAGAAAACCAATTTATGTAGATGCATGCATTATGTCTCGAATTAGAGTTAGCAAAATAGAATTACATGTCGTGACTTTTACCAATTAAACAAATGATAGACCTTAGCGATTTTAACTATGAGCATCAGAAGTGGTGATTTGTACTCTGTAAAATGTTTGTATCCATTCAATACTAGAACTGTGTGCTACACTAGTGCCACCTGTGCCGTCAACTCGCACATCTAGAGTAGGGCAGGCCCAGCAATATGCGGTGCAGTAAGCAGGCGCAATTCGTGTTAATTTAAGCTGATAAAAGGAAAGTGATGAGAGCTGAAGCTTTCCATCGATCACTAAAAAACAACCAGAGCGTAAAACGAGCCTACGAAATAGGCTAAATATTCGCAACATTAAACACAGAAGACAGTCTAAGTACTACTATCCATCTCCATTATGTCCGAGATACGGAATTATTTAGCCATTTTCCAGTCGTTATTTTTCTCTCAGAAGCGATTTGCGTGGCTTGAAATTTCCAGACCGAACTAACGCTTCGTAAGCACGATAATTGTGTGTCCACATATAGTTAATATGTTCAGCCAATGGCCGTGCTTAAATCAGCGAGAATATAGCCTTCATTGGATTATATTTGCCCTTCGACATTCAGCTCAAGAATAGTGCTCAGTCTAGAAAACGCTCTCCACCCAAGTAGTCTTCACTCGACTTTCTGTTCTTTTTTCCACTTTGGTTTGTGTACAGACTAGAAAGAACGTCCACGGTCGCCTTCTTGTCTGGTTCATTACTACCTCTGGCGTCTAAACTGAGCAACTCTGAGTTTCCTGAAGCTTCGACGAGTCCACTGGTTGTGGGAGTGGAGAGCAATCCCGCGTCGCGTGTTTTCACAAGAATAAACTCACACTTTGCGACGGTGACACCATCGGCGAGTGATCAAATTGGTGGTGACATCGACGGATGGGATAAGTTTGCTGGGCTAAGACCGATTGACACGCGACGAGTGCTTTGCTTTCCCGAAAGAGTAAAATAGTACCAGAGTCTTACCGCGAGTCCGGAGAATTACCAGCTTTCCACCGACCTATTTTTCAACTTTAGCGACTATTTCTGTGTAGTACAGACACAATGATTGCTCCAACGAACAAGCCGACATTGGTTAAGTGGGAGCACCTGTCCTTTGTGATAATGGACGCTCCCAATGACAGCAACCTCCACATTTATCTCAAGGAGCTCAAAAAATACAATGTTTCGGATCTTGTGCGTGCTTGTGAGGTCACGTACAGCCGCGAGGCTGTTGAGGCCGCTGGCATTCACGTGCACGAGCTTGAATTTCCTGATGGCGAGTCCCCCGACCCAGATATTCTGGATATGTGGCTTGATCTGGTTGAAAATTGTTTCAAGGACAATGTAAGCAATTCAAACAGCAACAGATCAATTGCAGTGCATTGTGTTGCTGGACTCGGCAGGTAAAGGATTTTAATTCTGTTTTATTTAGAATAATGTATTAACATATTCTACTCTGATGTAGAGCCCCAGTGCTGGTGGCCATTGCATTGATAGAGTACGGACTGGATCCTATTAACGCAGTGGAGCATATACGCAAGTTTCGGCGCGGAGCTATTAATTTGCGCCAGCTCAAGTATTTGGAGAAGTATCAGCCTCGGCGAGGCAATAAGGCCAAGTGCACAATTATGTGAAGAAAGGAAAGCTTTGCTTAAGCAGGCGCATTGTAGGTGCTTGGTCGTCACACCATCACCCTTTTTCATAATTTTTGCTGTCTTACATTTTTATTGCTGAAGTATTTTTATGACCATTGCTTCTTATATCTTGGCCGATTTGCGTAGACATACAATAAGTATACAACATTTTTGAAACATCGCCTTAACAGAGTCCTACACGATTGTTCATCGTACAACGTTTATCACGTTATGACGGCACTTAGACTATCCTGACTGGTCTGTCCTTTTAATGGTGCAGTCAAAGGCTGTATTTTTTATTCTTATCTATGTATAACGTAATTGACCACTGAAATATTGTGCATGTACTTCTGGCATAATTAATTATCTTTGCGCTATTACGTTTAATAAGTCGTTGCTTGACTCGGTAGCTGATTGTTGATACAAGCATTGTCATGCTTACAACTCGTCAGCCTCATCGTGTGCTTGGCATGCCGAGGTTGAAAATCGGCGAGTTCGCTAAACCATTTAACAACGGAAAAGTGGCCATTGTAAATTGCAAAATCAACAGCAACTGTTGTGCATCCTTCCGTACGATTCGTCCAAAGCCATTGCACCATTTCTAAATGACCACCGGCAGCAGCAGTGTCAATCGCTCCTGTTGTACAGCCTTCCATCCGGTTCTTGTGCAACCATTGGACAACTTCAAGATGACCACTTGCTGCAGCACTATCCATTGCGTGAACAGAGCAACCCTCGCTACGATTTTCGTGTAACCACTTGATTATTTTCAAATGGCCGCGCAATGCAGCAGCATCCATGACACGAGTTGAGATTTTTATTTCGGGACGGTAGTGTGTAAGCCACTGTATGACATTGAGGTAACCTTCCGTTGCGGCTATCCTCATTGACCAGTCAAAACCATGCTCAGAAATTGCGGCGTCCCGTTTGCCCAGCCGTTTTAGCAGCGTAAGGTACCCGCTACATGCTGCCTTCTGAACAGTCCATCGAATGGAATTATCCAAGAACGATTCGATCAGTTCAGGCACTATGCCACTAGCGATGGGATCGACCTGTTCCCTCACAACAACCTCGACAACTTTCATCAGTTCCATTATCAATATTCTGAATCAGCTTTAAACAAAAAGTGAATGATTTTGCTGGTCAAGTCAGAAAGAAAAGATGTGAACGATGGAGCTTTTGTCATTCTCTCTTCAAGACAAAGGGTTGTTAAGTAGAAAATAAGTATGACTAGAAATGGCTGAGGCTGCCACCTCGTCGCACGCATATATTAATAATAGCTTCATCAACGATATCAATTCAAATAGTTTGGATGAGATATTGATCACTTTGGTAGCGTCAATACATGAAAAACTATCTTTTACTGGTACGGACAGTTGAAATTTAAGCTTACGAACTCGAAACGATTTCTGTCAAGCCAGGAGCGTATATTTATAAAAAGTTGTCAGACTTCACTTGAAGAAAATGTACCGACATAATCGCGATACAATGAATCAGTGGATTTCGTGTGCGTAATAAATTCTAAGTGAAAGACAACTTAATATCAATTTGTTTTCAATCTTTCACAATTTTTGCAGTGGCTTTTTGGCTTCAAAATCTTGAAATAACTTCTTTATTTGATAATAAAAACGGGTCAGCTTTAAATTCACTCTGTCTCAAATCCTGCATTTCTCACAATGACTCAGTTTTGACCTACGCTCATTCGTCTCGGCCGTTGTTGCGGTGCAACTAGTAGCGTCGCGCTTTTCCGTCGCTCTCTCCGGTACCAGCAATTCCTTGACCATTTTCCAGGCATTTGCCTCTCGACATTGTGCTTATTGAGCCACCGCAGAATGTGCATGTGGCCGTTAAGCAAAGCAAAGTGGGACGCTACACTCGTGCAACCCTCCTTGCGATTGCTTGTGAGCCACTGCACCACTGTCACGTGTCCCCCAGCCGCAGCGCTATCCATTGCAGCAGTCGTACAACCTTCCTCGCGGTTTTCATGCAACCATTTCACAACTTGTAATCGCCCATATGCGGCAGCACTGTCCATGGCTGCTGTAGTACATCCTTCATCCCGATAGTAGTGAAGCCATTTAACGATTGAGAGATGACCACGTAAAGCTGCTGAATCCATCACTCGCGTCGAGCATTCCATGTCCGGCTGGTAGGCAGTCAGCCACTTGACAACGTTCAAGTCACCACGGTCTGCAGCTGTGCGAAGCGCCCAGTCGAGCTCTCGAGGCGTAATTGGTTTTACTCGCTTACCTAAACGCTCAAGTAGCGTCATATACCCGGCGCATGCAGCACGTTCGACGGTCCATTTTTCAGAAGCGTCTAAATACTCGCTCACAAATTCAGCCACGTGTGTGCATCCGGCCAACGAGTCTTGCTCGCGCATAACTAATTCAACAGCGGTTAATACGGGCGTCCAGAATTTCATCGAAGTCCTTCCTAGATGAGTTCGAATACTTAATGAAGGTTTTTGTTGTAATTGCGGAAACCTATGAGGAAACTTTACTGGAGCAACAGCATGTGTGCCTTTTCCGCCATATCTGGCGTATGCTCGCGACCTATGGGAGATCTCTGTGAGACGTGAAGCTTGTAAATGCAGTGGTTGGTTTCTGTTTTGAAAACGTGTTACAATACAAGTATGATAGCACAAGACAACAACAAGTTGACGATAATCAGTTGAGTTTGAGCGACTACGCGACCATCTGAACACATTTTAACGCACCACGGGATCAGTTATTTATTACATTGCTAAAAGTATATCGGTAGTAACAAAAAAGTGGGTCACCGTTGCAAAGTAGTGTGGAAATATCACACTAGTTTCATGTGTCCTACTCATATGCGACAGCTGCCACTTTGACAGATGTATGCCTTCCATCCTTAAGTCTAGAAACAAAATCAGCTGCATATTTAATCAAGCCGGGGGTCGCCTCTAAGCATGACGTTTCTCAGAACAAAAATTGAAACCAAGTGATCAAGTCGTAACTGAGAAGTCATGCCTCAAAGCCGCGAACTTACTAATAAAAAGAACGATAATAAGGATCGCCACTCTCGTGGTCCCGTGGGTACGGGCGCTAATGGACCTAAGAAAGGTACAGGCATCAGCGCTAGATAAAATGTGAGTAATTCATTGCATTTCGGAGCTGATGATAGTGTTATTATGCAGGAGGTGCTGGCGCCCACAACTGGGGCGTTTCGACAGCTGAAGAAGGCGCCATTGCAGCTGTGGACCGCAACGATCCCAACTATGACAGCTCGGAAGAACACTAGATCAATACATCCTTGCAAACGATTAGCTTTTGTAGGAGAAATACGCAAAAAGAAGAATCAACTAGCCTTCCAGCAGTCATAAAACTATAAAAATATTATTTTGAAATCATCAGGTATACCACATAAACTTTAACTTAACCATGGCAATGCCTTCAGCTGATGTGAACGCAGCGTCTGTGACGACTATCTCGAACTCAATGTGGAAGTCGTCACTACTGATTTCCGAGGGATCTCTTGTCATTCTTTTTGAAACACATAATTCACTTACATACTGCTACGCACAGCGTGACGCTATCTACCAGAATCGTCACGGTGCCTTTTATCACAATGACATGATTGGTCAGCCATTTGGCTCGAAAATTATCTCAAGAAAAAAGAATGCGCGTGGTTATCTCATTTTGCTTGCACCAACTCCAGAATTATGGAGTCGTGCATTGCGTCACCGTACGCAAATTGTTTTCACACTAGATGCTAGTGCCATTCAATTTACAGCTGCATTGTGCTCTGGAGCTCGTGTTGTTGAATCTGGTACAGGGAGTGGAGCGCTCACTACTAGCTTTGCACGCACAGTATCACCGAATGGCCACGTTTTTAGCTTTGAATTTAATGCACACAGAGCAGATATTGCACGTGAAGAGTTTCATCGTAATGGATTAACAAATGTCATTACAGTGGACTGCAGAGACGCATGTGAACAAGGCTTTCCAACCGATCTTGATAATTCCATCGATCTCGTATTCTTAGATTTGCCTTGTCCCTGGAAGGCAGTAGGACATGCAACGAAAGTTTTGAAGCAGGGTGGATTTTTTGCATCGTACTCCCCCTGTATCGAACAAGTGCAGAAGACTTGCGATGCGTTGCGTAGTGCAAACTTCGAGTGTAAGTTATAAAAGTGATTTGTGTTTTCAAAGTTTGAAAAATGAAGTTGACATTGTTATGTGGCAGTAATTCGCACGATTGAGACGAGATTGGTGCCGTACAACTCACGACGAATTGATCTACCGGTACCAGATTTTGGATTTGGCAAGAAAGTCAAGACGGAGAACGGCTCTGCATCTTCGACGATGAATGAGCAAGATATAAACTCGACTATAATGGATGATGAGACGGAGGGTAAGAGTAATGGTGGACGTAAACGTAAATACGTTCCCGGTGGTGTGGGAGAGCACATTGTGGCCAAGAAAGATGACGAGATTCGCGGACACACAGCGTACTTGACCTTTGCCACGAAGTTCTTCGAATAAATAGTCATCATGTAGATCATTAGTCTTGATGGTGAAAAAACGAGGTACTAGAATAGATAGTTTATTAAATTGAACCCTAGATTTTTCGTATGGAAAGGAGCTACTAGAGTTTATACTGGCAAATCCTATGGCATTGGTTATCATCAACTCGCACCATCAAGAGATGTTATCACTGCCGCCAAGATACCATTCAGTTCGGATACTTTTTAGTTTCTTAAAGTCTAAGAGAAAAGACAAGCATAAATTCATGGCGTTGCAATCTAAAGCATTTGATGATATTGTGCTAGCAGACACACCAGGAATAAGTTTTATCCATGATGAAAATAGCCTACGATATCTTTGAGGAAGATCTCCCATCCGATAGCAATGACGACTTGAAACACAAGCATCCAAATGATAATCCACTCGAGTTTTGAGCCTTGGTGATGCGTTAACTGCTGATTCAGGACACCAAATCTAATCAAATAATGATAACCACAGAACATTAGCAACAGATTTAGCAAGTTGAAAGATAGAAGCCTACAAGTCACGAAGGATACTAAGACGCTTGTTTAAAATGACCACACGATTCGCCACATCCTGATACTTCAACATTTTCTCGTATAGATATTTAAACCCATTATTGTCTTGAAATTTGAGAAAGTATTCTGGCTCGTCAAGGACATTTGAGTGAATGTTTACGTCAGCTAGCTCGATAAAAATTTGTCCGATCAGTTTCGACGTGTCGTTGTGAGAATATCGAAGCGACCCCACTGACGATAAACTAGAAGGAATATTCTTTGTCGAGCGAATTCGATATCCCACCCGAGTCTCAAACGCACTGAGGGTTGCCGACTGGGCCATCGCGAACGACAACGCGATCATTTCAGCAACATTGTTCGTGCATAAAACAATTGCATCTTTTGCGATACTCGATCGGTCACCATAGCTATATTCCATCACTTGTGCATCAATCTGGCTTAGTTCACTCGAAGAAAACGGCGTTAGTAGCTTTAGAAGCCTATCTTCTTGTTCTCGATTAAATCCCCAAAAGACACAGCAACCTGTCCTGTGAAAAACAATGTAAAGGCCCCACAATCATCTCTTTGTATTCTATCTTTACTCACTCAAAAACGAGAATATGTCTTTGCTGAAGAGCTGCTTTTGATAATGAATCGTGGGCATCAACATTAGTCTCAATCGCGTTATCCGGAGTGTAACTCAAGTGCAGAACCTCCAAATACATTGTACTCTTCCAGCAAGCTAGGTCATTACTACTTCGCGCTGTCTTTGTCGAGTTTTCAATTTCCTTCGTCTCTATGACTTCAGCACGACGTTCACGCGTACTTATCCATTTTTGAAATTTGAAAAGCGCGATTTGTTCACAAGTGTAATACACAGCTACTCGTCTCTTTCCTGTATGAGAAGGAGGGACCGAAAGCTTGTACAAATGGGTCTGTGCCACTACTTCATCGTAATCCGAAGGATGTGCACGCCATCGTCTCCCACTCGGTCGACGAGCCAATCCTTTTGATCTACTAGTCCGCTGATTCTATAGTCGATAATCATTTCCTATAAGTGAATTATTCAGACAAATTGCAACAAAGTGCACTATTCTCACTGCTGCGTCTTTAGCGTGTAGTCCTGACCTTTTAGCTTTAGTGTCGGAAAATCCGACGGCACGCAAAGGTGTTGAGGCAGAAGAAGAGACATCGTGTAATGGCGGTAGATGAACGTCTAGAGTTGGTGGAAATGGTGGAAATATTTTGATTGCTGGTATGATTGACGATGGATCGTTGACATGTTCATCAGTATCTATCTTCTCGTACACATCGCTCGGATTATCGCTTTGGACAGGAATAGCGGTGGAACAAGAATGGAAATTGTGGCGCGTTCGGCGACGATGGCGTGCAGGCTTGGAAATGGACGGCTGCATCTCTGCATGAAGAGTCGTAAGGTAGATTTTGAAAAAAATGAGGATTCAATAGTTACAGGTAGTGAGTGTCTTGGACCTTTCAAGTGATTTATGCGAAAATAAAAAAGACCTTCCATATTATGCATCTATATGTGACAAAAATCTCGTTCTCGCTGTCACATTATCCGTCGCATACCATTGAAAGCACCACGACATGGTATTTATTGGGTTAAGCGTACGAGCATACTCTTTTTTTCACGCAAACTCTCCGAGTCGAAGCTTACTCTGTGCAAAATGCATGGCAACCCCGTTGCACATGGTAGCTATTGCAGTCAATTCCACGAACGACTTGTGAAAGGACTGTCTGTATTTTGTGCACGGATAAAGTACGAGTTGCTTGTTCAGCTATACCTGGGCATTTGGGATGCTTATATCTATTTTTGAACCCGAAAAGGTCAGGCCAAAAGGCCAAACGCAGTCATGGTCCCGTGGAGGCCCCACCAGCTTTGAAATGCGCTGGTGTCGAACAACCGTGGTTCCTACCTTGAGGCCGCTGATCGTGCATGCTCAGCCCTTTGTAGACAGGAACGTAGAAATTTATCCCTCTGAACGAGGGCAGTTAGGATGGTCATGGGCCATGCTCGAAACGGCGATAGCGTATCGCGCTTGCGATCTCTTTGGCTTAAGATTGCACGTGAGAATGGGCACTAACATACAGCACCTCGGTAAATAAGGCGCTTCAGATATGGGTCATCGGAACCGGCATGTTTTCGAGCCGTCATTCAAGACTTTTGAGGTGTGTCTGACGCTTTTGCCACAAATCAAAGTAGATGAGAACTGACGATGTTCAGTCTCATCGTTGCAATGGCATCTGACCGTCTCCCAGTGGTGATTAAAGTCATTGTCTTAATGAAGGGTCTCAAAACGGATGTGCTTCGCATCGAGACTTTCCTCGTCCACCCTGACCCTTTTGAAGAAGTTGTGGGTGTATATTTGAATGCGAAGTACAATATTTGTTTCGGGAGAGCCAGATGAGTTACCAAAGTTTAAAGATATTTGAGCTTGCCAGCGGCGATGGACATCAGTCATGAAGAGGGGTTGGGGCAGTTGAAGAGTAACAACGTGGTACTCGCGGATGTTACATATCCGCGGTTCGTGTCCCTTCTCTTCCGGCTGAATGGTATGAGGGGCCAGTTTCCCACGCAGGGCCATCCAAAGAACACCTCGTGGGAAAGATATCGCGCCTCAGAGACGCAGAGGGACGTCCTGGTACGAATTTGGTTTTATCGCACCTCGTGAAGGGTGTGTTTGGTGAGACGCGAAGCGACTTTTTCTACTACAGGGGAGGCTCGTAATTCAGGATTGCTGGTGGTTTGCGTCAGCATCCTGGGCTTTTAAAGTCAGGGATAGTTTTCAAAGACTCAAAAATGCCGCACGATTGCGTACGAGGCGCGACTGTCGAGACAATCAACAATACGTGGAGGCGTTAGAGATAGATACCGAATATGGATGTGTCTCGCATCATACAATTTGACTGTTCCGCTGAACTTGAATCAGAGTTTTAACAAATCTGACGAAGCGGGATGTTGTTGTCCTGCATTTGAATTAGGTGTACGAGGTTATTCTGGGTTTGGCGTAACTGAGATTTTACGCGCCATAGATCGACGGAAACCGGTGAGGTTTGGCGATGCGAGTTTTTTGTTGATGCGTTGGTAAATTGTGAGATCATCTGTGTCATAGAATAAGAACGCTTTTAGCTTGTGCGCAAATCTACAATTGCATTTGTGTAAGACATGGGAATACCCGAACTGATTAGCAATGATATTGCTAGGGTCCTCAAGCAAAGTAAGGATGATAGAAGTGGTAGCAAGCCGCTGTCCCAGAATAGCCAGATAGATGCAATCATCAATATCGGTCTTCGGAGTGTTTCTGTGCTGAGTCAAATATAAGAGACGATATGTCCTGGTCCCTGTATGTCACTCTGTTGGGACGGGTAAAACAGCTGTAAGCTGGTTCTCCTGCGCAAGAGCCAATGCTGAGTAAATGCGAATGGGTGTCGCAGTCTCTCGTGCCAGAACTAATGTAGCTGAAAATCGACTATGAGACATAAGTAGAATGGGGTTGCTCCAAAAGGGCTCATGTAACCTTATCCTTTTCTCCCTGTTATTTTACTGCTGAGTCGGCGTTACTGTGTGTCGTGTAGTTTCCCAAATCAAGAAATGTGTCATGATATAGAGCTGGGATTCACAGCCAGATATCCTCGATATTGTGATACGCGGGCAACCCCTTACCATAAAGCAAGTTGACGTCAGTGAACTTTAATTCCGTGAAAAACTCGTGTAGACTTGGTGATTGAAAGAAGATCCCCAAACTCGGCATCGGCTTGCAGTGTTTGAAGGGTTCATATAGAAAATTGCGATTGCTGATACCGAGATATTTGTCGCAACGTTTTCAGCACAAACGAAAAAATTCCGCAACGTCCGCTATACGTTTTAGTGCCATTGACCTAGTTGGTGAATCTTATCAGCTTCTGACATGCGACAGCAAAATTACTCTCACTTCGGTGAAACTCCCAACGTGATGCTTTGGGTTTGGTTTAATATGACCTCGGGACTGTCTCACGCACTTTCTGAACACAGACTTTAGGCCGCATCATTCCTACCCACAAATCGTTTTTCTACGACATATTTGTCCAGAGTCGTGAATAGCTCCGTAAGTCGGATGGTGGCACTGACATTAAAACTTGCAAGTGTGTGCTTCGCTAAAATGTTTGCCAAATGAAAAAGTATGGCTTTGGCGTCGTCAAAACATTTTTGGAACGCTTTACTGGGAAGCCAAATCTCTATCTGTCTTTTCATTCTCTTGAGCAGGTATCTCTTATCTATTTCCAAACAAAATTTGTCTGAAGTAGAGTCTTTTGCATGCCCCACTTTGGCTCATTTTAATCTAGAGCGACCTTTCGCTTCTGCTGTGATGCCTTTGCGTATTCCGCATTTCACTTCAAGCAGATGTCAATGGTCATAAGCTTTTGAGTATCGGCAGTTTATTGCGGCCAAGAATACGTAAACACGCACATGTGATACGTGTCAATCACTTAAACCCTCGTCGCGTGCGATTGCACCTTTGTCCAGCCTTGGGAGTCGCCCAAGTACTGGTTACTGGCCACTCCCGTTTTTTACCCTTGGAAGTGTTCGAGCCGATTACCTTTACAGCGTCTTCACTTATCCGAACGAGCACCCTGTGTCTGTTGCCGAATCGACAAAGACACTCTGCAGTTTCGGGCAATATGACCCGGCTTTCCACAACGGAATCATTTTCCATCGTTGCAAAGACGCTCATTTTCGGGTGTGGAAATGTACGAGGTGTCCATTGGTTCTGGATCATCACGCTTACCAGTCAACTGGCGCGCTTGCAACGCGTTCCACGTGATAGTGGGCGACACCACTCTTCTCGCGAAGAGTCAGCAGCGGAGAATGACGACTTGGTAGATCTCTATCCGGTGATTTTCGAGCGTTGGAGGACAAATCCCGTCGTCATCGGCACTCCGTCGAGCATCTTGCCGAGGTAGTTCCTTCGTGTCTTTGGCCGCGATAATAGTAGTTCACGAATCCGGGGCATCTTGAATAATGTTTGCTAGGGCTTCGCTGCTAGACGCAACCACTGGGAAACCGGCCGAGAAGTTGTTAACGCGCGACATATATTGAGAAAGTCAACTGGTGGTCATCCGCAGACAAGCGAAACACGTAACTCCGCGAAAAAGATATAAATTTCTTAAACACATTGCGCGAAGGAACCTTGGAACTGGTGAGAATTATTGAGTCTTATTCAGTTGCGAAGTGCGTGCTTTTTTTTACGATAGTCAACGTTCGGCTTGGCGAAGCGAATATATTTGCTAGAACTGTCAAGTATGCTTGACGTTACAAAGTACAAATCACGGCGTGAACGTCGAGGTGATGACATACCACCTTTAGAAGTTTCTGTGGTCGTCTCCTCAAAACAGCTATAGCAGCTACTGACTAGGTGTGTACTCGCCACACGTTCGATCCCCAATTACGATGGAAAGCTCATTGCGACGAGCGATTTGGCCTCTTTTCCAAGGGCGAGAAGGGGTAAGCGACCACGGCATCTGGACATCTTATCGAAGTGGGATTTCGAACTTTCAATCGCTTTAAGGTTCAGATTATACATTCCGCTTCGACGGATACTAATAGCGATATTTGTTGTATCCACCGCCTGGCCAGACTCTTAACGTGGCAAAGCGTTACCTTTTGCTCGTCTAGCTGTGCCGGCGAAGGTCCACACTGCTCGCACAAGCTCACTCGGTTGTGTGTGAGACACTTCCAGTGGTTTAGAAGTGCGTCGCTGCTCTGGGATAGAGGGTAGCACAACCACAAGCGATGACTGCTTCGTTTGCAAAAGAGAATTTCGCATCCAGCTGCCTCGTCCTAGCGAAATCGTACCACGCCCCCGGTAAGCCCACGTAGAACACACTATAATTTCGTATCCTATATCTCAACGTAACTCGCATGTCTCAGCCTTTACGCTACAACCGTCTAAAATCCGATGTAACGCCACAGACACTGCATGGTAGAAAGTGTATTATCTTCGATAAAAATGTTATCAGTCCGTAGATTTGTCTGGGTTTCGTCTATCTCAAGCCTCGGTGTGCTACTTGACCTGACCCCCAGCCATAACGTCGCGCCGTCGGCTTTTGCCGTCCAATCTTCTTGATGGTATCATGCTATGTCTAGCTGGTCTAATATGCAATTTATTAGATTGACAGTCCTTCCTGTAATGAGCTACACTAAGTCATTACATGAAGGTACATCTCTTTGTTCTCAGCTTTGTTCATTTTATTGTTGTATTTGTTTCGGGAACGTAAATGTACCTTATGTATGCATTGTGGTCATTAGTAATGGAAGATTACAGTATGCTGTTCCCAAGTGCACATATATGAAGTCACGAACACTTTGTGTGATACAGAATACTGGTTTCTACTAGGGGAACCGTACTGGCGACGAGACTGATGTGTCGCATCTTTAGAAATAGCCAGTCACTTCTACCGGATATTTCCCACGAAAGCTGAAGTTTTAATCTTTCGAATAGTGTGGCGTAAGCCAGTCCCTTCTCCTGGATATTTTTTACGAAAGCTGAAGTTTCAGTTGTCGAAGTTCAAGCTCCGTACACTCAAGATCTTGTATCATTTGATTCCGAGGTTTAACCTCAGTATACTCTTGATTTATTAAATAGGAGTCCAAGGTTTCATTAGTAGAACCTCTTATAGCCCTTTGATTGTTTTGTATGAAGCTAGGAGTCATAACTCATTTATACCCAGTTGCAAATTTGCCTTAAAAGGATCAAGGCGTTCTTCTTCCCTCCAAACCAGTTCAATCCTTCTCCCTCCACGTCGGGAATCGCTTCCTCGTCGTTTGTTGTGTTTGAGGGACTGTTTGCGAACAGCGCCCTCTTATACCTGGTAGTCAACGACACTCGTTTTTTGTTTGACGGCATAACTGTTGGAACGTCGCGCATCCCAAACCAAGCCATTCTCTTGTCTTTGTCCGAGCAAGATGGAAGAAGTTGGGGCATAACTCGGTCCATCAGTACCGAAAAAAAAAGATGTTGACGAATGAGATGTTTCCTCATTTGTCTTCACAGAAGTACATGGCACTCGAGCGGATACGAGAAGTCATCGCCAAAGCCGCAGTAATCAATTTACTGCAGTCGTCTTCTCCTGATGACTGGAAAACCGCAGTTGTTAGTTTCATGTATTATGAGATTATAAAATGTCGGAAGCAGGTCGCAAACCCTTTTTCTTCGTACAGAACGATGTCTTTAAAACTGAGCGTGTCTTTGTACAGTGGTGGAGAGAATGATATTTTTTCGAGATGAATTTTCGAGACGGATGCAGCAATCACTGCAGACAACTACGAGACCCCTTTCAGCAAGTGTTGTTTGCGATGTCCAATCTTGCGGGACGTGCAAAGAGTTGGGCGTACAGGATGTGTTAAGCCAATCTAAGCTGCTTTTCCAGCTACGAACACTATAAATTCGAGCTAAAGAGGGCGTTTGAGCCACCACAGAGTGCGTTCCGTGCCCGTGTCGAATTGGTAAAGCTTCATCATGGTCACTACGAATACGCGCAGCGTGCTCGTTACTTTGTATCGAGCATTGTCGACGAACCAATTGACTTTTCAACGCAAGTTGTAACGTTAACGGCGGGCTTGATTGATGGTTCAATTCGGGACAGTTGATTCGTGAGTACCCCAAGATGCTGGACGATGCCATCAATCGTGCGATGCAAGAAGGGTATAGCTTCAAGCAAGCTAAGATCAATGGCTTCGTACCCCATTTGGATTTTTTAAGGTACCAAGAAGCGAGCTCGAAAAGCTTTTCGGTAGTCAAGCTCAGCTTGTATAGTGGCCGGGAGTCCGACTACGTAGACGCCTTACGATAAAGTGATCGCGTCTTTCGCTTCAGTAGCGGGATCCGCCGAGCGGAAGCCGTATTTCACACGAGGGCAAAAGAGCCGACCTTTGGGAAGCCTTTAACTGCTGCTTCTGTGCCTCGTCGAGGCAATTGGTGAAAATACCACTTCCCCCGGAAGTCGAGAGGTCTGGAAACGGAAATGATGTCTGCAAGGTTCGAGCAGGGCTCACGTCGCGCCGTTGGCGCACCTCGTCCTCCTCCTTTTTCCATCCCGGGAATGGAGTATCCGACTCGTAGTCGACTTTCACCTTATCCTCGACGATGAAATCCGTCGTCCGTGGCGGGCGCGGTGTGTGGGGCCCGGTTGCCGAAGACTTGGGATGTGCTTCCGAAAAGCCGCGGAAGTTCCGTCCGGAGTGGACCGCGTGTAGGAGAAGAATGAGGTCTCTGCCCGCGGGCGCCTCGGACTCAGCGAGGCTGGGTGTTTTTCGTTTCATTGGCCAGAGCTCATTGAGCAGTGAATGCGTGCAGATGGTCCTAGGGACGTTACGGTGTCTCGGACATGCGAGCCTCTTACGAGGCGACAGTTAAATGGGAATTGTGGATATTCACAATTTCAATGGGGGAGAGTGTAACGAGGTTACACGTAATCTGGTATGAAACGGTGGGCCACACAAGGTGGTGTGACAGTACAAATATGTTTATTACACAAGATGGTGTCATCATACAAATGGTGTGGCTACACCTTAACAAGAAGCCACTTTGTGGCGGGAGTGCCAGTAGTTATTCATATTAATTAGATTTTGCAATTTAATTAGGGAAAAACTAAGGTTTTAGATATATGTGGCTCTGCCGCAAATAATACAGATAAATACAATTAAAATTTTGACCGGAACAGTACATTGCCTTGTGTTAAGGTTTTGGTCTTTCTTGGAGGTAGCGGATTGCGATCGGCTACACTCAGACTTGTTCTAGTATAGAACGAAGGTCGGTGACCTTTAGTAACTTTCTCTAAGCAAAAAGCTACGGCAGCCCCGACGCACCGCGACTTCTCCGCGCTAGTGTTCACAAGACATCTATTACCACGTGACTCAAGTTTTCGGAAGAGCTTTCACTGACGCTGATAGAAGCGAATTGGTATTTCGTGCCCAGACGGCCCCCAAATGCTGAAATTAGGCATCGTCTGGAAGACCGACTGATATAATCTCTTTGGGCTATTAGCGCTCTGGTGGAACCGAAAAGTTGGAGAAATGTGCCGAAGCGCGATACAGGAGTTTAATACACTGACACGTTTTACACGTGCGCACATATGTGCATACCCAAGCTATCGGTCGCTTCGAGCTGGCGAGACTCAAATACAACCACACGATCGTGCTCATCGGCATCTGCTCGGACTAAAGCCCAGTCTATTGCGAAAGCTGGAGCGTCACGGACGGCATGGAAAGGCTGATCCAAATTCGGAAGAGCTAGAATTGGTGTCCAGAGAAGAATCTACTTGACGTCTGAAAGCGATACTTTTTTGTCGTATGCTTGCGCCATTTAAATCCTTCCCAAGAATTCGGTGAGAAATAGTGCCGTGTCAGCATGTATTTATTGCAGTCGTGCAAGTAGTTAGCCAGAAAAAACCACTTCACCAGGACTTTTGAGACAGGAAGACTGGCAACTTCATAATGGCATTATCTCTTGCAAGATCTGCTTTTAAATGATGCAATCCAGAAAGAGAACTTTGCCGTACTAACGACTCTCTTGTCTTCATCAACAAGTATTGTCTATGTTTATACATTCAAACAATGCTCGCAAGTATTTTTATGTGATTCTCTACGCTTGCTTTTTCGTGTCCGCCAGATTTTTCTTACGACAATAGTATTGTGCATAGCCATGATGTGGCCTAGACAGCAACATTAGCCGTCAGTTGAATGTCGCTGGTGCATCGACAATCCTTGTCGTTTGACCAAACAACCCCGGAGCTTTTTGCTCGGTGAACCGACCGTTGTGAGATAAATATAGCTGCCTCTCACCAACATGTGACACTATATTTCAACCAGTTGAGAGTTTGGACAAAATGCAACCGGCTATGCTATTCTGCACATCCGTTCCGGAAATTGACGTTTGCACCGTAATTGTGAGCATACGTAGTTGATTATGAGCATGAACAATTCGCCTCTTGCCGGGAGATGTCTCCTCACGTTCGTCATACATGTTTGATCACGGAAACAAGCGTCGTTAACGTTACATTATTCCCTTGATAAGGGGTCTTACCGTGAGGCGTAAATTACATCTGGTCCCGAACTCAACTCAATCCCATGACTTCTCGCGGGTAACACGCGTGGTAGGTTAATTTTTCAACAAAGAATCGGGAAGAATTGACAATCCTTGTGAGAAGATATTCCAATCCTAACACTCAGAGCCCTACGAGTGTCGTCAACAACACATTCACTCATGACAGATAGGGAGCGTAGTTTTTTTTCGTTACGAAACGTATCATTTTGGCGACTTCGTCATCCTTCAAATTCTTTCACATAGCCTTCGGGAATATATCGCCCGATCTGAAATATCTATATCTTCTGCCGGAGTTAACGTTTAAAATACAAAACCCTTAGAACCAACTCGTAAATACACTTACCCGTGCGGCTTCATTGCTTCACATGGTGGCTCCGTCGCACGGTATTTCTGACACATTGTACCATGAGTAGGGTCAGATCCCAAAGATGTCTGACCTTCTACTTGACTCTTAAAGTCGCCGTATAACTCCGCTGGCTCTGACACATAAAACCACAGCTCACAGCTTTTCTGTACAACCGTGCCAAGAATTATTATGGGACCACGACATACTGTTGGCCTCTCCCATGTTAACAGGGACCAATTTTAAAGCAGTAATACTTTGCTCGTATCTATTCCTTGCTAACACCGCGGCGCTGTTAGCTTCTGCTGTCCAGAGGACCCAACAAGAGTAATGTTATTTTCCGATAATCTCACGTCTTATACTAAACCTATCGCAACTTTGTATCTGCGCTACAAATTTATTATGTATCTTGGGGGGGGGTACTTTGTGACTCGCCAATACTGAATCGGGGCAAAGTGCATGGCACTTTATACTACGACTTACAATAAGCGTATGTCTCGTGACGTTCAAGCCGTGTCATACTAGAATGAAATCGTATCTCAAACCAAATTCACGAACTAGATAGTTTTCACGCTGTGAAATCCTCAGACTTTACTCAATGGCTCAGCAGAACCTTAGATACTTTACTGACGAGATGCACGGATATCGAATCAATATTTGGCACCCTCAATTCCTCCAACGACTTTCTTCATATACAACGCAGTCGTGCGTCGTACGTAGTTGCACGATCTATCATAAATTGATAAGGTTTCACAAAGCCTTGAACGTTGGTCTCACAACCAGCATCCCTGGGCTGTAAACCCCACTTCTTTTGAATGTGCCGCCCGTTTGATAACGACCTTCAATGGAAACAATTAACCCAGGCTTTTTTTCAGGAGGCGCAGGACGGCCTACCAGAAATCGACGTTTCCCTATGTGGGAGCTGTCGGTCGTCCGCGTGTGGGTGTGGACCTATTGTACTACTTAACCGATTGCGAGAGAGAGCATGCAAGGAGCAGATTTTTTTCCCTCAAACGCAGAGGAAACAACGTGAAGCTGCTCAGTAGTTAATATGCGTCACTTCTTCTCCTCAACATGACTGAGTTCCATCGCTTCTTACGCGCTAATAAAGGTTCCACTTTCAACACGTTATTCCGATTTCGCGGTAGAAGCGTTACACTTTGCATTGTATACTACGCTAGTCACTTTCTCAAAGTTGCAAAACGTATTGGAGCGAGCCGCTCTCGCCTCCACGAAATTGGTTACCGTAAGATACTGCACGTAAGTGCCCATTTTCGTGCGTGGCCTTGTAATTTGAAGACCGCAAGCGCGATACACTCGATTTTCTATTGAAGCATGACAATATCCACTAGCCTTACAGAAGTAGCGAGTTTATCCATCCTGGTTCTCAATAGTCTGAACGTCTGGCATCAACGGCCTCGAGGTGAAAATTATCTGTTCCACCTCTTGCGCCTGATTGTGGCTCTGCGTTTCCATATCTGGTGCGACCGCTTCTGGGTTGAGCGTACAAACACTCTTTGTGTTTGCAACGGGGGCTTCTTTAAGACGAAGTGATCTTAAGGCGATCCATCTAAAGAGTTATGAGAAATTAATTAAGTTTTTAAGTCATACCATTGCTTAATTAAGATGCTTCTACAAAAATTCGTCTGCAAACAATCAAATATTCGCAAAAACTCCCTCACCACAATGACATATATGCTTATTAAGAGGGACTTCAGTATTATAACTCTAACTTAACAACAATGGCACCTTCGGCCGAGGTCATGACGTCGGTCGTCGATGTGCGCAGCGTTGGGGAGCTGCAGAGTCAATTGCGCGCTATGTCCTACATCGAGGTAACTTTGCATCATCCTTTAGTGTATTTTTGCTCAAACCTTATTAACATTGTCACGCTGTTACTCCAGCCAGTTGGCGTGGAGAGCGCACGTTTAGTACGCCGCCTCCTCACGGATTTGATGACCGCATCCGATGCGCGAGAAGCTGCTGAAAAGAAAATTGAGAAAGCAGAACGAGATGCACTTGAGTTATCACAGATTTTATTGCCATTGCGTAAGGAAAACGCACAGTTGACGAAGGAAAATAACAGCGTACGATCGACAAGCGAATATATTTGATGAAAGGATGAAGTTGATTACTTTATTTCTTGCAGCTACATTTGGAAATTATTCATCAAGAAGAAGCGATTACAGAGCGAGAAAAAGTCTGTGAACTGCAGTTAGAAGGATTGCGAGATGACATCAAAAAGTTACAGTTTCTTTATACTCAAAAGACCCAGGAATGTACTCAGAAAGTAGGCAAAAGTTACACTCGAATATGATTTGCTACTGGTGTTATATAACATGCAGTTTTTCTATCTTGTTGTGATAGGAAGAAGAAGTAGCAAGGCTGAAACAAGCACAATTGGCGACTGGAGATACGATACTACCGAATGATTCAGCATATAGGAATATGCATCAGCCTCATGGAAACATGTCCATGGAAAGTCAAGAGGTGAATGATGAGCTGAAGCAAAAATCCATAGAATTACAAGAACAATTGCAAAAGTATATGCGAGAGAATGAACAATTGCGAGCTCAGTGTAAACAAATGAATGAGTCGTTGGCGAAGCGAGAGCAAGAGATCGACAGACTAGCAAACCTTTCGATTCAAGTGATGAATGATCCCGACAGTTCTGCTAGAAAGGTACAACGTTTAGAAATTCAAAATCAGACGAGATCGAAACAGGAAGCGACGGAATTGCAAGTTGAACAATTGAGTGCACAAGTAGATCTATTAAATGATCAAGTGATTAAGTATGAGAGACGACTTAAGGAAGCGATGGAGCAGATTCGTCGAAATGAGACTATCGAAGACAAGTTGCGGTAAGTATGAGCTTTACTGTCTTATATTGATGTAACCACTGACTCTGTGAATCTTTCTTTGCATTCAGACAAGCCGAGATAGATAAAGAACATTTCGTTAAGGAGTTAAATACGCTCCGGGCAAAATTTCACGTGTTAGAGGAAGAGCACTCGCGGTGTGGAGACGAGATGGAAAAAGAAGTAGGTTCTGGCACTACTGGTGCTGCGCACAATGAAGAGAAGGGAGACGACAAGACTGATACAGCATCACTGGAAGAGCAGATTCAGACACTGACGGCTCACAAAGACCGACTTGAGGATGCACTTCGTGCGATGCACTACGACAAGATTTCGTACACGAATGCGCTCTCGAACGCAAACTCGCATAATCGTGTGCTGACTAGTGACCTTGCTCGTGCGGAAGCCAAGCTAAAGGAATTGAACGTAGAGAAAGCAAAGCTGGAGCAATCACTGAACGACACAAGATCGTCATTAAATGCACACACTCGCGAGCTTGACGTGTTGCGTGAGTCGCTGAAGCAGTGCGAAGATAACCGTGCACTCGAGAGTGAGAAAAATGCATCTCTCCATCGCGAATTGCGCTCAATGGATCAATTATTATCTCAGCGAGATGAAGAATGTCGGTCATTAAATCATGCCTTACTTATTCAAAGAGGAGAATTGGAGCGTTTGACGAATAAACTCGATAGGTTTGAAGCTGCAGCAGTAGAGGAAGATGGAAGTTTGAATAGCAGGAAGACGTTGTTTGCGCAAGAAATGAAATGGCTTGAGGAAGAGCGACATGGTCTTCGTCGTGAAAAGGAAGAGTTAATGGTTCAAGTTTTGAAGCTCGAAGAAGAGCTGCTCAAAGTTAAAGGTTTATTGGAAGAGGCAGCACACGACAAGGATAAACTTACAGAGCAATTAAGCGTTGCGACAACGATGCAAAGTAATCTTGAAACGATGTTGGAGGCGAAAAAGCATGAATGTGCTGACCTTCAGCGACAACTTGTAGATAGTAACGAAAAAATCCGTGAAATCACAGACAAACAGAGGCAAGCACAAGTGTTACTACGACGTGCTGAAGAGACGGAGAATGAAAAATTGATGACTCAGAACGAAGCACTGACGTTGAGACGGCATGTGGAGGAGTTGCGAGATCAAAATGCAAGCCTTAAGAATCGAGTAGAAGATAACGAGTTGTATATCAAGAGAATAGTGGATCAAAGCCAGAAAGTACAGTCCGAACTTGCTGTAACGAGCAAAAATAGCGCTTTGCTTGAAAAAGAAAAGAGCGAACTCCAATCAAATTATGACAGTGCGCTTGCGGAGCTTCGTACTGCTCGTCAAACCTCAGATCATTATCAGAATGAGCTTGAAAAGCTATCAAAAGAGATGCAAGCTCAACAGTACTCGCTTTCGTCCGAGCAAAATGCGTTGCAGTCGAGTCAGAGTTCAGTGAGTGAGTTACGATCTCAGGTTCAGCAACTTCAAAGTGAATTAAATTTGAAGCAAAAAAATCTTCATCAATTGGAAACACGCTTTGAACAGGAAAAGGCAAGTCATAAAAGTGTTCAAACGCAACTGATTCTCCTCCAAGATGAACGGTTACAGCTAAGAGAATTAAATAGTGCTCGTGAAGTAGCATTAAAGCAAATGCGTGCTGAAATGCAGTCCAAGGATCGTGCGTTGACGGAAAAAATGGAGGCTGTTGAAAATTTTAAGCTTTTGATGGAGCAAATGGAATCGTCTCGTGATCAAATGGTCTTTCAGACAAAACAGCGGCAGCAACAGATTCAGCGACAGCAACAAGAGATGGTAGACTTGAATACAAAAATTGGCTCATTGGAAAGTGAACTCTCGGCACGAAATAATGAAATTTCGACGTTGAAAAAGTTAATTCGAACATTAGATAGTGAAAAAGATGCTGCGAATGATCAGCTTGACACGCTGACAGAAAAGTTTTATGATATGGAAAAGCAGGACAACGAATTGCGACAGTCATTGCAGAGTAAAACGTCCGAAATGACGGGAATGCAAGAGCAATTAAGCAATGTGGTGAATAAATTAAATGAAACCGAGGACAAACTGTTCAAAGTGCAAGAGCAATGCTCTCATCTTGAGAATGAAGTCAATCGATTAGAACATGTAAACGGAATGCAGACTGCTGAGTTGTCAGCACTTGCACAAGACTTAGAGAACATGACGATCGAAAATCAAGCGATTAATGAAGAGTGTACTCGATTGCAACATCTCGAGTATTCGCTTTCACAGTCGACAAAGAATATGAAGCAAAGCACTCGAGAAATCGAGCGGGAACGCGATATGTTACAAATTGAACTCGATGATCTAAAGCATACGTACCGTTCGCTAATTCAAGAGCATGAAGGCATGCAAAAAGCACGAATGGAGATTTCTACTTTGCAGGAAGAACTTGCTGTTGTCAACGAATCATTACGAAAGCAAGTTGATACACTCAAGACTCAGCTTCAGGCAATTAAAGAAAAGAATGTGATGTTGACTACTGAAGCGAATACATATCGTGATCAAGTCAATTTCCTCACCGAAAAGTTGCAAGCCAATGATGAAAAGCAGAACGATCTACAGGAACGTATGCAGCAACTCAAACAGGAACTGGACGCTCAAAAAGAGGTGGCGACAGAGATATCTGCCCAACGGTTTGGCGCTCAAGCTGAGAATGCGGCTGTCTCGCAGCGAATTGTTCACTTGGAAGCGAAATTAAGCAATTGCAAGTATGAGGTGAAAGCACTACAAGGTAAACTTCACGCTGAGCAGACACAACGGCGAAGTCTTGAAGAAGTTGCATCAAGTCTTCGTCAAAAAGTTGCTCACAATGACAACGTTATTTCACATTTAGAAGAGCAACGGAATGCTATGGCACAAGAAATACAGACATATTATCAGCGTCAAGTCACTGGATCAACCCCTGTGATGGACATGTCTGAATTTAATCATACGCCATCGCCAACTGATCAAACTTCGACACAAGCTGAACTTTGCGTTCCGAGACAGCGTCGGTCTTCATCGCGCTCTGTATCTGAATCACCACCATCAATAGCGACAGAAAGCACCCCAGAGTCTGGTCGTAAAGCTTCCAGCTCGTCTTCATACCACCCTTTACAGGCGCTGGAAGAAGCTCAAATAAAGTGCCAAGAGCTCGAAGATCGACTGGCGCAGCAAGACGATACTATAAAGGTATGTCATTTGAAGCAAGAGTTTGAGCTGTACGACTTACTAACAAAACTTATCGGTATAGCAACTCGAGCGATCTCGAAGCAAATTCAAACGATTTGCTGCTAAATATGAGCGCGAGATTGAGCAGGTGCTGACCCATTGGACATTGAAAGTGTATGATTGATACTAGTACTAATTCTGTTATTTTTCCTTTTCCAGCGCGACAAGCGGATTGAAGAGCTACAAAGCAGCTCTCATGCTTCGTCCTTTGTGTCACCTGACGCACGACCATTTCAATCTCGCCATGCTCTTTCTTCTTCCTCATCGTCATCATCCAGCCAGTCGATTAGACGATCAACTAGCAACAATTTTGCTACCATTCCTACCTCGTCATGATGAACAAAGGTGGTCAACTTAGATGCACATTGACTGTAACGAAGCGCAAGGCACAATTTAGAAAGCAAGTCCAAGCCTAAAGATGGACAATTGGCGCTCGCTTTTGCTAGACTTAGCAAGCAAGCGTTTCAATACATCACTCAGAGTCAAGTTATATATTTTCAAGTCTCAGTACCTATCCAAGTGATGACAACTCATGTTACTTCTGCTTTGTAACCATTATTGATGACTTCTTCCAAGTTTTCGCTGAGATATACCCGTATCAACAATGTATCAAAATTTTTGTTAGATCGTATCGGCGTGCATGAATTGAGTTAAGTCAGGGAGTTTAATTGTCAGACAAGCTGCCATGATATCGTTTTGAGAGGACGTCACAAGAAAGATATGATTGAGCAGACTTTTAGCAATGGGCAATTTGCGGAGCGATTGCCAAAGAAAGCTGAAAACTCTTTGTTGATGAGTTCTTTGAAGAATGAGAAATGGACAATGCTTACTATATAGTGGACTATACTGTCACTGTATATAAAGAACGCTACATGATCAAACATAAGGTAAGGCAATGTGGTTGATCATTAAGTGCATGCCAAGAGGAAAATAAAAGACAAGGTTTTCTTCAGTTTGATCTTAAGTCTCTTTTCCGCATAAACCATGACAGATATCATTCAATAGTATTCTCAACGACGACGTTGACCAAGTTGCACTGTTTTTTTGCAAGTTTGAAAGATCAAGATCACCTCCAATATGATCAATGTATCAGGAAACCCTAGGGTTTCAGATATTGTCGGCTCTAAACAATTGAATACAGTTTCAATTAGGGTTTAGGATTTTAGTACATGGAGGTAGCAAATTGCGATTCTCTACCCTCGTACTGGTTCTTGGAAAAGACGTAAGATCGGTGATCATAGCTTCGCTTCCTCTAATGAAACAGCTACGGCAGCTCCGCTACACTTGGTAGCACTTGTAGTCAATCTGCGCCTGACTACTCCTCTGTGAGGATGGAGGAATACTCTTGTTTGCCCCAGGGCATGCAGGACGGGCTTAATTAGATGATGTCCTTGCTGGGCCTCGAGGTCGTGGAGCACCTTGTTGCGCAAGGGCCCGAGGCCATCAGCACGCGTTCTTCAAGTTATGAAAATGATCTTTTACTTACAGCAGAAGCTGTCAGCGTCGACTGCATCTATGACGCCACCGTCGCGACGGATGGATCCTTCCACTCATGGTGATCGCTAAGATCTTTGAGGATAATGATGAAAAGAATCTCCTGCTTTGGATAAAAGAGGTCGATATGATTATGGCATCCGCCATGCTCCAAAATGAACAACAGCGCGTGGCACTAGCTATCTCCAATCTCGGAGATCGAGCGCGAGAATGTAGTAACGTGCGATGCTTTGGTCGAAGTGCGTTTACCTCCTAAAAGGAGCTGAAGCGTCAGTCCCTGTGAGTGTTCTCGCCGCCTAATCAGGCATATCGCATGAGATCGCCTTTTCTTGCTGCCTGACAGGGCGAGAAGGGATTGGTGGACTTTGTCTAAAAGTTGAGAACACTCATTGCCGGAGTGGCAGCAGATCCTCTCCCCGAGACGGTCGCAATGACCAAAATTATGGAGGGCCTCCGCACTGGAGTGGCCAGATTGGAAGTCTTATGTGTGCATCCATCTTTTTTTGAAGAAGCGGTGAACGTGGCATTGAAAACCGAATTTCACTTTAGGTCGGCACGACTTGGTTGGAAAACACACCCTCAGAGCTCGTCGGGCAGGCCTGAGTAAATGGATCTCAGCTATGCTGAGAAGGAGGAGAGAGCTCCGAGCTGCTGACCAGCGTGTAAATACCCGACGGTGTTTTGCTTGTGTAGAAACCCGTCACATTCGGACGGATTGTCTCTTGTGCAGACGTATAAAGTTTCGTCGAATCGATGTCCCGCTGTTTGTCGCGGAGAACGAATAAACCCGGTTGGCGCGGGATGCCCTACTGGGGAAGAACTGAGTTCCGTTGTACCTCAAAGATGTAGAAGGCAGCAGGGCTCAGCTCGAAGAGCTGTGCGCTCTTGAATACGAAACGTGTATGCAAGCCGGGCTTGCTGGTCGTAAAGTGACCGCGAGGAGCTTTAAGAAGCCATGGAAATTCCTTGTCGATTTCGGGGCGTCGGGCAATAATGCTCGACGCTCTACAATTGAAGAAAGTCAGCTGTATGCTGTAGCACTGGAAGGGCGGTTGAGTGACACCGTCACTGTTCGCTAAGCGACGAGGAAATGTGTCACTGTGCCGAGGGTCTCTGTGGACTTCGGTGTTAAGCTCCTTGACTTTGATAAAGTGGAACGCTGTCTAGACTTAGGCTTGGTATGGCATGGTTGAAACACCATGAGCCTTGGATTGATTGGATTCGAAGACCTTGGGCGCTACGCGCACGTCTCCTTGTGGAGCTTTGGTGCCACCTCTGCTAGGAAGCAGAAGCGCTATTGCCGCGGGCACTGGACCGAAACGCTCAACTTCTGGATATTGAGATATCCGAGCTATCAAATGTTTTTGGGGACAAGAGTCCCAAGCGTGGCTCGCGGGTTGAACGTGGAGTGGCACGAATCCCACTGAGCGCTGCTCAAGTATCGGAGCAGCCGCTGCATGCCAAGAGCATGGTCAGTCAAGGGCCAAGGCACCAAGGGCGATGCCCTTGTAATGCACGTGGAGTGGCGCGTAATCCACTGAGCACTGCTCAAGTTTCATGCCAAGAGTGGCATGGACTAATCTGCTCCGAGGTATTCTTGGCAAGGCCCTTCTTATGCGCGTGAAGTGGCACGTTATCCACCGGACGAAGACTGCGGAAATAGCAGCTCTTCGTGTTGTTAATAACATCAGTGTTCCGATGGAGCAGAGAGTGAGAACAATGGACGACACCGAGTGCGTGTTCCCACCGGTCCCGACGAGACGTAAAACCTCCATACAGAGGAGACGGCGAAGTCAGATGTTATCTACAAGACGCCGAGCATCGACCCTGACCCAGGGTGTGTCTATCGTAGGCGATAGCGCACAGCTTTATACCCTGGTCAACGGTATGACGAGAGAAAGACGGCAACGTCTCCCTCGAGGTTATTTCCGCAATGAATGCTCTTCTTGAGCTAACAAGATGTCCTTGGGAGAGATGGAGGTAGGCAATTTAGCCGAGGTGGTCATTACTAGACCAAATAAGGATATTAACTTGTCGTCGTTTCTGGATGAAGCCGCCCTGGAGGACACTAAGATGGTGCTACATGCACGTTGATCTTCGATTCTAAAGAATCTTTCGGATCCGTTGTATCCAATGGTAAGGGAATTCCAAAACGTCGTCTCCAAAGACCCGCCGTTTGTCCTACTTTCGGACCGAGGTGTGCGTCATCGGTTCCAGGAACCAAATACTGCGTAACACGCTAATGACCACTGCCCAAAGACTAGTGTGATGCCATTGACGCCTTTTTCCGTGCGAAGCACGATGCAGAAATGGTGCGTGAAAGCAAGTCTCTCCATTCAACACCCACGTTATGTGTCCGGAAGCCGAACGGCAAGTGGCATATCGTACAGGCTTATAATGAACTAATCGCTGTAACCATTCCGGCACAGCCGCCGATTTCTAGAAAGGATGTTCTCCAAAACAATATGGTTGGCTGTACAAAGTACAGCGCACTCGACTTGGTCGATGGTCATTACCAATTTCTCATGAAAGCGAGTAATATTCCACTGACAGCCCGAGCGGGATGCTCTGAGAGTATTGGCGATGTTCCAAGGGCTGTCAAATGCACCAGCAACATCTAATCGTTTTGTGACGCAGTTGTTCAGGTCCCATCGAACGTATGCACAGACATACTTCAACGATATTTTCGGTTACAGTTATGACGGATACGAGAAGAGAGATGAGGAAAATCAAATCGTCCATTGGATAGCGGTGCTCGAGTGCATGCGCACGAATAAGCTGTATGCTGATGCCGATGTGTGCAACTTCAGCGTGGAAGAAAATTAATTCAGGGAGCTTAATCGGGAAGAGTGGCCTTCAAGCGGATCCCGCTAAGGTGAAGGCCAGTGGGACTGTCCGATCCAAAAGAACTAAAAGGATTTGCGCAAGTTTCTTGGCCTCGTCAACTACTTGTACAAGTGTAGCGCAATTTATGCGGAAATGGCACGGCCATAGTCGAATCTCCTTATAAAGGATACGAAATGGTGATGGAACACCGAGCATCGGGAGGCTTTTAACAGAGTCAAAGACAGACTCCTTCATGCACCAAACTGGCGTTGCCAGATCCCGATCGTCCTTTTAGTGTCGTGTGTGACGCGTCGGACTTTGCCATCGGCTGTGCACTGCTGCAAGCAGACGCCGAGACGCGAGATCGGGTCAAGTGATCGCGTTCAAATCTTGCTGGTTTAAGGCTACGGAGATAAACTACCCAGTCCATCAAGAAATTACCTGCGATAATGTATGCCCTTGTTAGTTCAGGGTGCGCCTGCTTGGATAAAATCCGTTTGTGATCTACACAGATCATACGTTACTACACACTGCGACTCAGTCGCCTCACCTCTCGCAGAAAATGTTTAGGTGGTTCACTTTATTGCAGAATACAACTTTGAGGTGAAGCATGAGCCAGGGAAGCAGAATGTTTTGGCTGATGTGTTGTCACGCAGACCGGACTATAAGCTAGCTCATGTCACGACGGTGACGTTGTCAGCCACGGATTTATTCCACGCCGCATAAGCGGGTGATGATATGTGTGTAGCGCTGATACAGGCTCTGGAAGTGAGGAGTTTGAAACTTGGACAAGGAAACGTCGGCGCGTTTGCGCGCACGGTTTAACCGATATAACGCTATGTTGCAACTCGTGAAGTTTGCTCTGAACAATGCGGTGCACTCATCTACCGGCTACACGCCGTTCTATGTGAACGGGCTTATTAATCCTCGCATCCCTCTGACGCCGCCATCTCATGGCTCAGGGCTTGATAAGAAAGCTATAGCCGAATGGCTAGCTGTCGTTACGACAAAACTCCGTACACGGTTTATTGGGCCTTTGAAGGTCGTGGCCAAATGAGGCCTAGCGTAAACGCTGAATTTTACGAAGGGAATGTTCACCCACCCGGTATTTTTTGTAGGCCTGCTTACACCGTACCGGGATCTGGCGACCCAGAATTTGAACTGGTTCTGAGCACGTAGTACAACAACTTCCGTTTACAACGGCGCAAGGCTCTTCACCGTCGCACGAAGTGACATGTGACATATTCGTCTGCTCGACGGCTTAGAGTCGCTTCGACATCACGATATTTCTCAACGTGAGACAGTCTGTGCACAAAGTGCTCCAGGCTATTGAGGTCTTCCGCACAGCGGTGAACAACTTCGAAGATATGTTCGGCAAAGTGCCGATGACGACGGACTTTGTCCCCCAACGCCCAAAGAGCATCACAAGTCACCGGACGGCGATCGATTAAGTCGTTATCGTCCGCTGCCAACTCTTCTCCATGAGAATGGTGGCGTCCACTACAAAGTAGAACGTCTTGTGGGTCGACGTCGTCGACGAGGTTTAATCCAATATCTGGTGAAGTGGCGAAGATACCCAAACTTCGAGAACTCATGGTAGTTTGAGGTGCCACTTCGGCAAGACTGCCCAGACATCGTGGATGCTTATGATCGGAAGGATCATGCCGCATCGCGTTGTCGTGCGCAACGAATTTCTCGGCAGTAGCCCGGGAAGCCGGATGGCCATGAGCCGAGCTCGAGCTATAGCTTTGAGCTACCGTGGTCGTAGACTCGCCTGTGTGAGCTCACAAGAGCGTAGTGAATTGTTCCACATGTCGCAGGACGACAATACGTGGGAAATCGGCGTTGCGCCTTGAGTTTGGCTAACTCAAGTCAGAGATCTACGCGCACGTCCACTTCCTCGCTTCTTCGCTGTAAAGTAGATAGAGAAGATAGTATCTGGTGCCGCTGCGCCCATCGCTTAAAGAGCACATCTTAGTCTGCAGCAGTTTCGCCAGGGGCGAGCACCACATGAATAGTCCGCAATGCGGGAACAGGAGCGTTTCCTTTTTGAGCTCGAAGTCAAGCGCAGTACCGATCTATTGGGATCTCATGGGGGCTCCAAAAAGCGAGCTCGCAGAGCTTATCACTGATTAAGCTCAGCTTGTGTAATGGCCAGGGGCTCGACTTCGTAGACGCCTAACGATCGAGTGATCGCGTCTTTAGCTTCAGTACGGGGATCTGCCGAGCGGCAGCCAAATTCACGCGTGGGTCGAGGACCGAACGTGGATACGAGCGCGAGAGAGCTGCTCTGTGTGCAGCCTCTAATTGCTGCTCCGGTGCCTCGTCGAGGCGATTGGTAAAAAATACTACCTCCCCCGGAAGCCGAGAGGTCGGGGAACGGACATGGTTTCCGCAAGGTTTGAGCTGGGATCGTTGGCGTACTTCATCTTCCTCGTCTTCCTATGCTGGGAAAGGAATGTCTGACATGTAGTCGATTTCCTCCAGCTTCTCGACGATGAAATCTGTCGCTCGGGCGAACGCGTTGTTCTACGCACATTTGCCGAGGGCCTGGGTAGTACTTCTCGTGAAATCGCGGACCCGCAATTTCACGTACTTTCCGGAGATGCACCCTGTGCAGAAGAAGAAGAAGGGCTTTGCCCGCGGGGCGCCCTTGCTACCAGCTAGACTGGGTGTTACGCGTCTCGTAGACACAGGGCTCATAGAGAGGCGAAGAGTTAGTTGTTTTTAAGGAACATTTAGCTGTCTCAGACACACGAGCCTTGTATGAGGCGACCGTTAAATGTGAATTGGGGATATTACCAATTTTTATCGGAAAGAGTGTTTCTGGGTTTCACGAACCCTTGTATGAAAGGGCGGGTCGCACAAGATTTTGCGATCGTAAATTGGCGTGTATTACACAAGTGAGTGTAGTCACACTGTGGTGTGGCTACATCGTAACAAGAATCCACCACGTGGTAGGTTTTCCAGTAGTAATATTAATTAATTAATTTTTACTATGTTAATAAGGTATTACTGTATTAGTTGGGAGAACCTAGGGTTTTAGATATTGGTGGCTCTGTCGCAACTTAAACAATAAAATGTAGTTTCAGTTTTGAACAGAAGTGTTCGGTTGACTTGTTTAAGGTTTTAGTACTTGGAGGTAGCGGATTGCAATCCGCTACCCTCGTACTGGCTCCCATAAAGTACGTCAGGGCGGTGACCTTAGCTTAGCTTTCCCTGAGCAACGATCTACGGCAACTCCGCTTCAGCAGCAATTCTCGCTCCCGAGTATTCTCAGTGAAAAAGGCGACAATTTCGAATGAGAGCGATCATAATAATTCGAAGTCCAAACTCGGCATTATTGCCCTCATAGAGATAAATATGACAAAGCCAGCCATTGAGTATGAGACGAATTATGTGATATGCCTCTCATCTTCACGATGTGCGCCCTTCATTCTCGTTACCATTGGCAAAAAATCGTACGACACCCGCCGTGGAGCTTAGGAAAAATATAACTTACCGTTAATGTTCTATGCTCTGTTTCAAATGGCAATATTGCTCGCTTGAGAAAACCACGGCTTGCAGCATATTGACAAAATTCAGTCACATCGTTGGTCACATTAACCTTTCAGACGTTACTCACCGCGTTGTTATGGAGCTTGAGCACACCTTTGCGCGTGGGCCTTCTACTAAAATAAGAGCAAAAACATAAAGCCTGCTATTGGAACATCAGTGATCGTGTGTGCATCCGTACCCTCCATGATTACAGTACGTCTGAGATGGAAGAGTATCGTACGAAAACCTGCGCACTGGGCGCGTCGTCATAATATCTCTATCATCTCTCAAGTCGTCTAAAGTGAAGCGGACGTTTAACTATAGCGGTGAATACGTCCGTTTAAAACCAATTTCATGGTACAATGTTGACGTCGAGGTGGGTTGGTACCTAACTCACATTCTAATATCAATAGCCTTGCACTTATCCAGAAGTTAGTGGTAAGACTAAGGACCATACGTCTCACTTGGAACAAGGCCGAGCTCCCATGCTAATGTCCAGAGTGTTACGATGGATGGTGCGCCAACTCATAAACGGCAATTTCCCCAGGAAAATTGTGCCGAAGTGGATTGAAATTGCCCCTGAGTTTTCGATGTGAGTCATCTTTTCCGCTTCATCAGATACTCCTTATGGCTCTAATAAGTCACCAACCCTCTATTTGTTTCGAAAGGAATCAAACCTAGCTCATCGAGCAGTATCGGCGGTAGACAGACTCTCGCAGTTGAAACTCAGGAGCTGTATTAATTTTGGCGGTACTTCGAATATTTTTTGAAAAGGTAGACGTTAGATAAGCTAAGTTCCAGATGTGCTCTGCTGTATTGTCCTTTGTAATAAGTACTCTAGAGCCTTGTTGCTGTCAAGTCCAGAAGGTATCTCAGCTTCACGTAATGGACAAAACGACCTCTTCACAAATACCAATTTTCTGATAACTGAAAGTACTTGTAATGTAAATATGATACAATTGTACCAAATGTATAAAGGTTAGACACAGAATAACAATACATGACCCTTTTAAAGTATCCCCCAAAACATGCGCGCAAATACTGTCATGTTTTGATTTTGATTCACAAAATGCACATGCCTCTTCAGACTTAACTCTAATATATTAAATAATTTTTCTGGCCACCGTGCTCCCCTGATACGGCACAAAGTGGCTGTGGTATTACTAGGATATGGGCTATCAGATACCCTGACTCGCTATAATCAGCACGGCTACAATACATACGCCGTCAACAATTTCCAGACCTTCAATATCATCTAGGCAAGGCATGTTCGAAACGCCTGAGCCACAGATTGATTGATAGTCAAAGACATGAATTTCATCTTCTTTTCTTCCCGTGAGATTTTCAAGTATCATGAAGTTACCTCTGCTAAGAAACAGCAATAGTTTGGTGCGGAAACGGTTTATAGTGATCCGTGCAATGAAAGCTTCAGATTTCTAAGGGCGTTGAAAAGAGCCTTTGACATGATAACAAATCGCTTCCTTTGCGAGAAGCAGGGATATGGTATCTGCCCCCGGCATTCTCAATGCCTCCGCACTTCGTCCACTGTCTTCAGCAGTTATGTACCACAGTTGAAATGAATAGTTTCCATGACGTTTGCAAAGCCGCGGTTTGTTGTACCAGCTAACAAATTCAGCAGCAGGCTTTCCATTTTTACAGAGTCGTACCGTTGGGGCTGTCTTTCGATGAAACAAAATAATTTAGTTTTCTGCAAAAGGCTTCTCACTACACGACAAGGACTCGACGAATTTTTGCACGATGTCTGCTTAGAGCTTTACCCTCCGTGCCTCTTGACTAAGAGAAACAAAACGTGAATTGCGTGAAATATTGGTATTTTCACAGGTCAGTGTATGAAGGTGCCACGACAGTGCGGCTGGCCAAGCGTTTTAGATGCACGCGGTAAGCCTCACTAGGGGATGCAAACTCACAGCAATCGGTGCTCGAGTAGATAACATGATGTTATTGTCCTGATCATGGTGGTACCTCATGAATCTCTTTGCGAGCACGGAGCGCTGTTAATTTGCCTCTGCAGAGATGAGTCATCACCATCGCAAATTTTAGTAACCAGAGAAAGCGGTAATCTCCGTCATGGTTTCTAAAAGAACTTGACAACCAATGCAAGTTGTTTTGTTATGTAGAGCGCTATATTGCCATAGGTGTGTCAACAGCGCACTTTTAGGCTCCAGATTCGTAGTAGCCGCTTTTTGGTATGGGCGACCAATGCGCTATCCCCTTTGGGCTAAATAAGGAAGAATCTAAGTGAAGTGCGTTTTGTTGTTCCGCGAGCAAATAATAAAAATATTTTTCACTTCCTCACAGAAAACACAATGATACTCAGACTCATTCGTTGGATTAACGATAGGTGCCCAAGCGGGTCGAGTCGTGCATCTGGCACAGAATATAGCCGCGTTAGAATTTCGGCTCACCCCTGCCCATAAGGTGCCTGCTGAGAGCTAGATATACACCTAGGACATAGACTTGTTCAATTTCTTAGAAAAATTTAATTTAATGCCCCAACAGGCTAAATACATACTGTATATCAATTAGTTGCTTATATAGTTCTATAGCTCAATTTTGTTAATTCAGTCGCCAACTAATTTCTCACTTCATAGTCATATGTGTATTGAGTACTGTTTAAATTGAGCCATTGGCACTTCTGAGTTTTGCTTAGGCTGTGTACGTACACCACCACTGGTTTTGTGAAGCATCAATACCAAAATTGAACAGCTTTTACACTTATCACGCGCTCTTCATGCATATAACTTACATCTTTTGACTGCTAACCCCTCTTGTCATAACACCGATCATGTCGAATCGCGAGGTCTGTAAGGCCTCTTATGACTAAGGCACTCCGCCAATCGAGCGCTTGGAGCTGCTATACTTTGAGTTTACACCCCAGCCTCAATATCCCGATTACGACTGAAAGTGCCGTGGGCTTTCGTCACCGAAACAATGTTTGGCGTTGTGCTACATGAGCAAAAGGACGGTTTTCTATCTTTATTAGCCTGTTTTTGGAAAAAATGATCTCCAGTTGGCCATGACAATATTAGCAAGTGCATTTGGAGCCAAAGACAAAAAATTTGAACACTGGTAGTGCACTTCTTCGTGCCCAATCCTTGGAAAGCAATATGACCAGTTTTGAGAGTTTGCCGTCTAAGTATCATTTAAAGCGATAATTTGATGATCCGAACTTACACAGAAGAGCTGATGGGACGTTTTTCATCAAGCATATAAGACATTCTTTCGATTGGAGTACTTACGTAGATGTACTTTAATGCTCAATGTTACTTCGCCTTACGCATACTCTGCACCTGCCGTAGCGCTTCATAATGTCTCAATGAACTTTGTGGTGAGAGTCATCATCGAAATCGACCAATGCGTACTTCAGCGATCATATATATAAAATGGCTTACTCAGTTAAAAAAACCAATAGACCAATGTGAGTGTGCAAATTAATTCTGAAATTAATAGAGATAACTGTATTATAATCTAAAATGTGGATCTGACATTAGAACATCGGACTGAAGCATATTAAAGCTTGCTCTTTCCCGCACAGATGTTTGCGCAGATTTTCTCATTTGGCAAGCAAATGACGATTGCCATTTTCTTGATTTAAGCATAAAGCTGACTGCAGCTAGTAACCAAGTCTGACAAGTACTTCATAGTGTAGATGAATTGACAGAGTATCCTCCTAGAAAGACTGCTGCCTTTGCATTTACACCCACCGCGTGTTCACGGGATTTGTAGCTCTTTACTGCAAGAAGGACTGGCAGCTCACACAAAAGCGCCGCTCACGGATCTGAAACGTCACAGGAGAGTAATGCTGACCAAGAATTTGCATGATTCGGGAAGACGACAGTGGCCTTTTCGGGATCTGTTTGCCAATTCGATAGATACATATGTTGGCCCGCTTGCGAGTCTCTTGAACGGTTATCAGTACCAGCATTTTGCCTTTAGGTTTGGTCTTGGTATCGATTTGACGTGGAATGCCTCGGCGACCCCTTGCGAAAAATGTTGCTGGTGCTTCCTACGGTAGAAGTCATGCAGCCATTACAGAATGAGAGAGAGTTCGAGTTTATGGACACGATCCGGCTAAATGTCGCATGTGGGCTAGAATCATGAACTGCCACGGTTTGCCTGTTAGGTGGCCTGAACAATTACGACATTTGTCGCTTCAATATAAGAATGCCATGTTGATTAGATACTGCACATATATACAGACAAGTATCCAGTCGTCGGATAGATACCAAATGCTCCCACGTGCACTGCCGTAAACTTTGCATAAATGAATCAAAGAGTCTAATCTAACAGCGCACAGATGTCAGGCTCATACGCTTCACCCAGAATTGGAGCCAAAGAACTCATGTAATCTAGTTCTTGATATGGTCTTGTTTTATTCCAAAAGTGACATAGTCTGATTGTAACATAATTCACTATGTCCAACAAAATCGTCAATGTACTAAGGCTAGCTGTGCATGTCCACGGATACTCCTCTTACGGAGTCATTAGTCCTAGCACTTTTGCTTTTCTGAGAAAAGTGTACTATGCCCGTGAATCATAAATCAATTAAAGTTCGTGTGTTAGCTAATGCATCTATATACTCAGTAAACTGGTTACAAGCTTCTTTATCATCACCATGAACGTGATTACTAACGTTTTGAGCTTGACTCGTCTTTGTTTTCTCTTTCTCTTTCACGTCTTTCATTTAGGATCTCAGTCTGCAGCATCATATTTCGCATTTGACTTCGATCTACACATTCCTCAATCATGAACCTTTCTAAATTTGCTAAGCACGCACTTACGTTTGCTGGTCCATCACCGATCCAACACATGGAACGACTTTCTAAAGCCATGGGAAACAAGGTGCAGTTGTACGCCAAACGCGAAGATTGCAACTCTGGTCTGGCTTTTGGTGGAAATAAGACGCGCAAGCTCGAGTACATTATCCCAGAAGCCATCAATGGAGGTTATGATACACTCGTGTCTATTGGTGGTATCCAGTCGAACCAGACACGTCAAGTAGCAGCCGTCGCTGCTCATCTTGGATTCAAATGCGTCTTGGTACAAGAGAATTGGGTCAACTATCCGCCTGAGGAAGCTCTTGTATATGACAATGTTGGTAATATTGAGCTCTCGCGTATTTTAGGAGCAGATGTGCGTCGAGACTCTGCCGGTTTTGATATCGGCATTCGTCCAAGTTGGGAGGAAGCCATGGAGAGTGTTAAAAAGGCGGGTGGTAAGCCATATCCCATTCCTGCCGGCTGTTCAGAACATCCAAAGGGTGGATTAGGCTTTGTTGACTTTGCAGAAGAAGTTCGAGACCAAGAAAAGGAGCTTGGTTTCAAGTTCGACTACATCATCGTGTGTGCTGTTACGGGTAGTACAATGGCCGGTATGGTGGTTGGCTTTGCAGCAGACGGAAGGGCGAACAAGGTGATTGGGATTGACGCGTCTGCTACACCTGACAAGACCCGGGAACAAGTGCTACGTATAGCTAAGAACACTGCCAAACTTGTAGAATTGGGGCGCGAAATTACAGCGGATGATGTCGTACTCGACACACGCTTTGGTGGTCCAGAGTATGGACTTCCCAATCAAGGCACACTAGACGCTATTCGACTATGTGCTCGTACTGAGGGAATTTTAACAGACCCTGTGTACGAAGGCAAGTCTATGGATGGGATGCTCTCAATGGTTCGCAATGGCGAGTTTCCTGAAGGCTCCAAGATATTGTATGCTCACTTAGGCGGTGCGCCAGCGTTGAGTGCGTACAGTTACCTATTCAAGGAAGGTTAAATGGTATTGACGATACAAATTACCATGCGTGAAGACTACTTAACGATCTCAAAGAATTTTTGCAGTAGAAAAAGTAGCTTTCATTGTTAATGAGAAATCATTTGATCTACACCTTGATAGCTCTCGTAAGGTATCAAGTATCTGCTTGGCACCGTATAAAATAGAGCCAGTGGTTAAATCGATTACATACCAACGGCATAATACGATATCATTGTCAGGCCAATTATCCTTGACGTCAGACACTGCGACCCCATGAAAGGGGTGCCGATTAGATACATAAAATTGAGCTGCGAGATAGAAAGGCCTTTGAAGTACATTACGATCTAGCAGTCGATACGATTGAGAACGTGAACTTGACATTTCACTGAGTTGTTCATCCTCCTCCAAGAAATTCACAAACAAGATCTATGCCCACGACTTACTCATAAATCATGGAGAGATCGGCGTCTTGAAAATATGAGCATTTGGTTGACGGAAGAGACAAGTAAAGCAACCATAGTCTTTACATACCTGTGAAGTTTATGTGCAGTCTTCCTTTCTAGAACTAGATGCCCAAAGATTTGAAATAAAAGCAGATTCTGCTGAATAAGTTTCGACTTTACCAGCAAGTTGAGCGTCTGTCGACCCATCACAGCATACTTTGCGTTTATGTCATCCAAGGCAGCCATTACATTTATCGACCTTACATGTTTGAAGAGCACCCACACATCCAACGTCATCGCTCACCATGCCACTAGCACGGGCAATGTAGCAACCGGTCATGACGTTGTTGTCTGCCCCCACCACACGACGGATGCTATCCTGTGTTAGAGTCGAAACAATTGCACAAAAAGGCTTTTCAATCGAGTTGTAAATTGAGAGCTCAGCCGCGTTTCAATCAATCCAGAAGGCGTGTTTTCTGCTTCATCTGACTGCTGAACCGAAGTCCTCACGTCCTTCGAAAAAGAAACGCGATTCTTTTTCGATATTATTCTCGTCGGAACCAAAGGTTAAGAAAGCTCCATTTCCGTTATGCCACCTGCATACTGCGTTAGAGATTTTAGCAATCGCTACTCAAAGAAGACTTGCCGACTGCATTCCTTGTTTACCTTCCAGATTCTGTAAGCCTGAAGCGAGAATCTGTATCAATTTAATTCTCGCATTGCAATCTGGATAAAACGCTGCATTTAATAGTCTCTACAAATTTAGCCTTAAGAACGCAATAATAAGGTCACTCGTCATTTGACTAATTCTGGGTCTCGTAACAAAACGAATCAGAGCGTAAAGACAGAAGTATTATATTTGACCGGAGTGCTTTTTGTCCGCGATGCGTGAGTCGTAGCAATCGATCAAAATCTACGTCTCAAAGCTAATTACATGTCAATTGAAGCAGACAAAGGGTCTGGATTTGAAACATCCTTTGTGTGTGCGGGTATCAAGTTTGAACATTTTTTTATTGGCTATGTTCAAGTATTGCTTGCATTTTCTTACGCGATAGACAGAAGTGATAATCTACGTTTCTACATACATATCAGGTATTAAATTCTAATTGTTACTATCAACTCATGGCGTATCTGCATAAGATATGGGGATGTCATAGTTGTGCATATGAATCACTTGGAAGAATATTCTTTTTATTAAACTTTTGGCATTATTAGCCAGTAGAAGTAGAGATATGTGGCTTCTAAAATTCTCGCCGTTTTAGAAAAGCTACTTGTCAATAAAGAGCGCTATTGCATAAAGTACAAAGCACCAGAATGTAAGGCGCGTGCTTTGAGGAATGCTCGTGAATCTGTGATACTTCTGCGAATATCTAAGATGCTGCTTTGCTCTGGTACATGCCCAAACTAGCGATAGAAATTACACCTTTACAAGTCAGACCTAGCTGTTGTTTCAACAAACATGACCTCTCTCCTGTTCATCCGTACCGAAACACAATCTCTTTGTTGTAAAATTTTGCCATGTGTTCGTTTCTCACTTGAATTTGGCAGACTATTAAATCATGCATTTGTTGACTCCATATCTACCGCTCATTGCCCTCATCAACCACTTCAAAGACATTATAAAGACATGGAAATTGGTCATCTTGCCAAATGGACACAAAGCTATTGAGTTTGCTGGTCAACTCATGTAAAATATATCTGAGGTAAACGACATCCAGCAAAATATGCCACAGCTCGTCGCAAACATTTTCTCTCAGAAGCATGATTTCAATAATGACATTTGCGCCGGTGGCCAACTTTACGGCAATTAGTACTGAGCTGAGCTTGTCTACCATGTACGATCTCATTCTTCACTGAATGAATGTTGTGTCTCGACAGTGCTATGGCCGAGAACGCTAATTGCAACCCGGGTGAATATGTTGACCTCAATCGTCTGGACTATGTGTGCACTCGCGCTAAGGTCTCAAAAGGCTGTCACGATTGTGCGATGAAGTGATTTATGACTAAAAAACGGGAGAAATCAGTAGCGCGACTATGATTTTATGATCTATGTGATACGTCAGGCTGACGACTTGAATATCGCGAGCCATGATGGCAATTTGCTCGAACGATTCGAGATGACGGACATTGGCGGACCTGAAATGTTTTCTTTAGATAGAAATTAAGCATGACAGCGACAATGGAGAACTAAAAATGCGGCTTCGGGTCAATATTGCGCATACTCGGGATGTAGTATTGCAAGCTTGTAGATACTTCATAGATCTAGACTAGGAGCTGACTTATAATTGGTGCAAGTGTGAGTGAAAGCACGAGAACGAGCTGAGGAGTGTGTGGGAGTGTTTGCTGCTCGTCCATACATAGTAATGATGTTAAGAATGGTAGCCTCTGACTCGCCCAATGTGGTTCTCAAACATCACATAGCAAAATGATTATAAGTGTACTCGAATCGATACTGCAGCAGTTACAGAGCTATCAGGTATAAACTAGACCGAGGATTTCGAGTTGGGACATTGTAAGAACGACCAATCTTTCGTATTGCGTGCATCAGCTGGAGAAGCAAGAAGCGGCATACGGTAGCACTTCTAACGACTTGATCGGTGTAGATGGCGCTGACCATGGTAGCTAAAAAGGCGAATGTGGATCGAGATGTACCTGGGTTAGGTTATAGAGGAAAATTAAAAGATCTTAAGCTACGCCGGTATGGTCACTGGAGACAGATATACAGTTTGCTTATCGCGCAGCTGTCAAATACTCTGTCACTCACAGCCAGACAGATTGGAGTCGCTATTACGGCTTGCCTGTGGCATCTATTTAGAGCGATACGAATCTGCATCAGACCTTCACGAATGTTTGCCACTATATTCGATATATACAAGAGGGCGCTATTCACAACAGTCCCTTACACACATCAAACACGCTCGTTAGACGAGAAAGCGTTTCTCTACGTGAAGGTATCAGGGCCGTTCCAACTGATAGGATATATAAACGACTTATGGATTGGGAGACAAATTTGCAACTGGATTGAATAAGTTTAGAGCTACATGCACCCCCCCCAAAGGCGTTAAAAGGTTTTACTAATTGCATACCTATAGTTCTCACTTATACAATTAAGAGTGTCTTGAGGCAGAACCTCAGCTTGAACTTGCACAAGATCTTGGGTGCATGGGGCTTTACTTCGAAAAGCTTAAACTTGACCATTCGAGAGAAGTTACCAGCGGAAGTGATTGACTTTCGCGCAGGATTCTCGATCCCGACCGAACAAAAATCTTGCTTTGGTCGTCGGAGTGGTGCCCCTAGCAATATACAAGCGATATTTATACAAGCGATTCTAGTCGCTGCGGACCAACTCATGGACACCAGACTCTTGGGCCTGATGAGGTTTCCACATCGCGCCACCAAGTCACGTATAAGCGTTGACGGCTCAACTGCTTCTTTCCATAATGGCGATTCAATCAATCTTTGCAATCAATATTCGTCTCAACCACCCAACGATGCTCTGAACGATAGTTTTATAGCGGAGGTGGGGATGAACGTGAAAGCGATTAAGCGACTCTGAAAGTGAAAGATCGGTAATCGCGGACAAATCGAGGCTTTGCAGCAGCACTGTTCGACGCTTGAAGATTCCTGCACAAGTCTTACGAATCTTTTTGCAGAGCAGATCTTGAAATTTCGACGTTCTGACTGATGGGCTCGCCCGACGATGGGCTTTGAAGTTCCGTATGAGACTACGGTTCCAACAGGTTTATGATAGACCGACTCTTCACTATGGAGATTCTTCTCAGCGTTCAAACGTAAAAGGACATGGTGGGATTGTTCTTTAACTGATTCTAACGATTTAAGGCGAGAAGGGCAAATATGTAAAGTACCTTAAGAACAGGACATGCCCATTCAACAGAGCGCAATAGGCATTTGTGATTCAGCATACGAGATTCTCGTCTTTCCGGAGTCGAACGCAGTCACTCTTTGCTTTAAAGCGAAAAAAATTATGCTCAGCCCAATCATCTACCAACGGTAGAGTTTTACAGACCGATCCACTCAACGAAACAACTTTCCCTGTACCACATAAGATTTAGGATGCTGGTGCATGCGTGCAGAGATGCCTAGGGTACAAACATCATTAATCAATCTCAACACCTTGAACGGCCCAACGAGTATTGGTAAAACTTACTGCTTTCTAAGTTGGATACAGCTTGTTTAGGTGGATCTGTCGTGATAAATACTACAGGCTCATTAATCTTATATACTTTTTTTCCTTCCGCACATATTTGCCTGTTCTTTTTGCGAATCTATAAATTCTAAAATTACGACTCAAATATCACCAACAAACCGCACAATGGCTTGTCTCTTCACAATATAGTCATAGACGTTTGGTTCCTCACGAATTCTCATGTTGTCCAGAGGTTTCATTTAGTCATAGTTGCTTAAACGTTGTAAACGCAAATAGGTCTGACTGTAGCTTCGTCGCTATAGATTTTCCCACACAATATTTGATTCACACATTCTGGTTGACCGCCCGTCTCAGGGTGTGCCACTGTTGACAAGGACATCTTGGTGCCCAATAGGCTAAATAGTGTATGCCAAGAATTCTACGTGAAACGGCTGTCACGGCCAGATACGATTTCGACAGGAAGGACATGCAGACGCAAAATGACGTCTACAAAGACTGTAGCTTTTTTGGTACGAATCTTACCTAAAGTCGTCGCAAGCTATCCAATCTTGCTAAACAGGTCTAACAAGACAAGGATGTCATTGCGTCCATGTGCGTCATGCGGAAGTCCCGATTTGAGGTTCATACTTACACACTTCCAGTTGTCTGCCGGCACTGCCAGCGACCAAAGAGGGGCCTACGTGAAGTACTTTGGTTTCACTCTCTAGCAAATCTCGCAATTCCTTTCGTACTTGCGCACGCACGTATCCACGTGTGGCCAGTAGTAAGCCCGGAAAAGACTGAGAAACGTTTTCTCACGTCCGAGATGACCACCCAAAGGCCTCTCATGGCATCCATATAATGTATGGTGATGATGCAAACTTCGTCATCAGAAACAGCAACCTTAGCTACGACCCCTTGCTCAACTTGATAGTACAACTTTACATTTTTTAATCTATAAGAATGAACACGCGATCTTGAGCGAGTCGGAAGACTTGCAGTGCTTTGTCGGAAGGGTCTTCGAAGTACGTCAGCAAGTCCTGACATGTCTTATCGAACTTGTTCCCTTCGGCAATTTTTTCGCGGAATGAAGTCGTAGCTTGCACGCTAATCGCCTTATCATCTTCGCATTGTCGATATTCTCGTGCACGTTTTCGCATCTCGACTTTGGATCATAGTCTGGACGTCTCGACAACGTATCGGCCAAGGTGTCCGTCTTGCCTGGCACGTAGTGTAAAACGCGACTTAGGACAGACTTGAGCTCGATTGTATATTGATTATCAATATCGATGGGATCCAGCCTTGAAAAGCGACGTCATTGAGACGAGCGATTGTGTAAATCTGCCATATATGCGGAAGCTGTGCAAATGCGAGTGTGGATACTATATCGATGCATCGTTCGACAGCGAAACCCGACAGGTGTCTTCTAACCTTCAATCAAAAATCAAGAGCCATAACAGAGTAGAATCCTGGCTGGAAAAGAAGGGCATGAGATTGTACGAACTTGCTGGCAGCTGTATGTTAATGTGAGCGCGGTCACTCTGATGCAACCTGATTATTTGAGCAAACAAAAATTTGCGACAAAGTGTAAGCTAAAATCTGAAGCACCAATAGTTCTGTTTAGATGAGTATTTAAGCTGAATAGTGGAGCAGCCATAGTTCTGTTTCGGTGTGGAGGAAAAATGGACTGTGTGTTGCGCTCGCCAGTGCAAATATCTGTGGAGATACGAGACCAAAAATTGCGCATTAAAAGTCTTTTACACATCGGCCATCTCCAAGGACCTCAACTTGCTGTCAATATCAACCTTACTTTATGAGATACGCCATCGATCAGACCGCTTCAAACATCTCAAGTGCTACATAATCGAATTGCTGATCTTAAGTAAAAATTTGTTAGGCTTCAGAGAGCATTGAAGCAATCATTCGTCTACAACAAAGAACTTTGCATCCAAGTGCCTCCCGAAATCAGGGCCAATTTGTGGCCTTAGTAAGTATGCGAAATGTGCAGGATTTGCTCGAATTCTCTCGAGTTTATTTTAAAGTTGAACAAAAAATCTGACAACGAACGTAAGAGGCGCAATGAAGCGAGGATACGACTTATCCGTATAGAACAGTGACACCGCAAGTATAAAAATGCTAAAAGCATCTCACTAAACATTTCACCCCCCACAACTTCATGGTGTTCCAGCATCTGCAAGTCGTTTTCGCACATCTTGGCTGTCAGTCATATCTTTGCACAATCAGCGCATTATGCCCAACTTAAAGAGATAAAAACGAAATTGAGATACGAAGTTGCAAGTCAAATCGTATTGACAACCACACTCTTACCACCAAAACTGGAGCCACATTGCGGATGTGCAACAGTAAGACGCGTGACCTCTGTCAACTCAAAACGCATTTTTTAATGACCATACACTGAGTGAGAGCATGCCGCTTAAGCATTGCGTCACCATGCGAAATCGTTTCGGAGCATATTCTCAACCATGCAACTACAACGTTCTGTCTGGCCATCAGACTGCAGATGATTCCATGTGAGCATGTCCAAATTGGTGCCGAGCACCTTAAGCACGGATCTTGATGCCATTTTTTGCCAAGGTGGCAGCAGATTTTGTGGAGGAGCAGCTTGGTTGTATCTCCACCGGTGACGTTGTTGTTGGCAGCAGCAAAATGAACTATTCAGCTCAGACAATCTCAATGCCGATATAAGCAAAAGTGTGATGGGTCAGATCCAATTGTACATGTTGTCGGGGCCACATTTTTTGTGTGTCTAACATTAGCTGTACACCCCGTTTAGTTGTATATCCACTTTCAATTCTGTTGTATCTGAACTGGACGCTCTTATCAGGTAAAGAAACATAAAAGCTTATTGGCTATAATAACAAATGTGCAGCAGGGTTGCCGTAGCTACTTGCTTAAAGGAAGCTAAGCTTAGGTCACCGAACTTACGTTCTTTCAAAAAACAGTCTAAGTGTAGCGGATCGCAATCCGCTACTTCTAAGTTGTAAAGCCTAACCAAAA